CTTCTGGAACCTCCAAGTGTGGTCGAGGATGGGCAAATCCAGACAGTAGGTGGAGGTCCTGGAAATTTGTTCATGATCAGTATTTATGGAACTGGACGTAACTAGCGAGTGAAGGGGAAAGAGAGGCTGAGGGATGAAGGTCTGAAGCAGGAGATGGGGAAGCTTTAGCAGAGGCAAAGGAGCAGCTGGGGAGCGGGGGAGGGGGAGAAGGAGGAAGAGGCTATGAGACCCCTGAGGGATGCGTGGGAGGAGGAACCCTCAGGTATTCAGGCTGCTGAGGCTTATGGACTTTGTCTCACTACTGATGGCCTGTAACAGGCATTTTCTTTTATTTTTTTATTATTTTTTTAATTGAATCACAGTGAGATGCACATTTACAAAGTTGCTCATGCTTGGATTTCAGTCATATAATAGTCCAAAGCCCATCCCTCCACCAGGGTACCTCCTCCTCCTCCTCCTCCTCTTCCTCCTCCTCCTCTTCCTCCTCCTCCTCTTCCTCCTCCTCCTCCTCCTCCTCCTCCTCTTCCTCCTCCTCCTCCTCCTCTCCTCCTCCTCTTCTTCTTCTTCTTCTTCTTCTTCTTCTTCTTCTTCTTCTTCTTCTTCTTCTTCTTCTTCTTCTTCTTCTCCTCCTCCTCCTTCTCCTTCTCCTCCTCCTCCTCCTCCTCCTCTTCCTCCTCCTCCTCCTCTCCTCCTCCTCTTCTTCTTCTTCTTCTTCTTCTTCTTCTTCTTCTTCTTCTTCTCCTCCTCCTCCTCCTTCTCCTTCTCCTCCTCCTCCTCCTCCCCCTCCCTCTCCCCCTCCTCCCCCCTCCCCCTCCGCCTCTTCCCCCTCCCCCCTCCCCCTCCCTCTCTCTCCCCTTTACTTTCTCCTTCTCTCCTTTATTCTCTCTCCCTCTCTCCTTTCCTCCCTTCTCTCTCCCTCCCCCCTCCCTCCCTCTCTCCCTCCCTCCCTCTCTTTCCTACTAGACCTATCTATTGCAACACAGATAATGAAAGGTTATCTGGTATATCCTTTTACCTGTGCCCTTCATCCCACAGACACGCTTGTGGCAAGCTTCCAACCATTGACCTGTTCCCCCTGGCCCCTATTTGCCTTTGTTCTGTCCCGCGAAGGGAGTTTCGCTCACACACTGACCAGCCCAGACACGAGGATGCAAATGCAAGGCCCCTTTATTGCTAGCTCGAGCTAGGGTCCAAGTCTCGTCCAATGCAGTGGAGTCTTGACAAGGACTCCAAATTCTGAGCAGTTTATATTGGGTTTGATTGCATAACAGCATTTTTTCTAGGAACTGGCATGTCCCAGTCCTATCCCAGGACTCCAGGGACCAAAACTATGTTTCCAATTCTTTTTCTTTTTTTCTTTCCGCTTTTTGGGTCACACCCTGCACTGCAAAGGGGTTACTCCCGGCTCATGCACTCAGGAATTACTCCTGCCAGTGCTCAGGGGACAATATGGGATGCTGGGAATTGAACCCGTTCAGCAGCGTGCAAAGAAAATGGCTTACCTCCTCGCTGTGTTATTGCTCCAGCCCCACGTTTCCAATTCTTGGTCCCAGCCCTGTCCTGTGACTTCGCTCTGCTTGGCTGGGTGCCACTGCCCATGGCCCCTTACTCTGATAGGCTGTTCCCACGGATCGGTTTATCTGCCCAGGGTGATACCGTTTTCTGAGAAGTCTTTCTGATAGGGGAACCTGAAACTTAGGCCTGCTGGGTTTCGGTCTTAAAGTGGAGCTCATACCCTCACCCTTGCATGTTAGTCTCATACATGTATCAGTATCACGGTCCTCCCGTTGTTCATCAATTTGCTCAAGCAGGACGTCTCCATCGTGAGACTTGTTGTTACTGTGTGTGGCACATCGAATACATCACGAGTAGCTTGCCAGGCTTTGTCATGCGAGCGAGATACTCTCGGTAGCTTGCAAGCCTCTCCAAGAGGGGCAGAGGAATCAAACCCAGCTCGGCCGGGCTGGCTGCGCACAAGGTAAATGCCTTACCACTGTGCTTTCGCTCCAGCCCATATGCACCTGATCTCATATATGTATCACGATGATCACGACCATCCCGTTGTTGTCGATTGCCTTGAGCAGGCCCCACTAACGTCTCCGTCCTAGCCCTGAGACTTTTTTTAAAAAGTGCCATATTCAAGGCTCCTTCAGCGTTAGGAGAATGAGACCCTTCATTGCTACTGGTATTTGGCATAGTGGGTATGCCATGGGGAGTTTGCCAGACTCTGCCGTGTGGGCAGGTTACATTCGGTAGCCTGCCAGTTTGTCCGAAGTAAGAATGAGATAATAAAACGTGTGATAATAATAATCCAGCGCTTCCGGGAGCTGGGTTTTATAATCTCTGGGTCTTGGCCGTTGATGGGATTACACGGTGCCAGGGGGCCAGTTGGTGGGTGTGACCCCTGCCTCATACATGTATATGAGACTAATATACAGTCTGATCCTCCAGGCCTGATCCCTGAGTGCAGAGCCATATCCCACAAATGAATGCAGTCATTCTATACCTGTCCCTCTCCTTCTGACTCATTTTACTTAACATGATACTCTCCATGTCAATCAATTTATAAGCAGATTTCATGACTTCATTCTTCCTACCAGCTGCGTAATGTTCCATCAATAGGCCTTTAGTGTGTGGAAGTTTCACTCTATGCCAGTGCCATCCTAGAGACATCTCCAGAGGTCTCCGGAACCTGCTTTGAAAAGCACAGGAGGAGGGGCTGGAGCAGTAGCACAACCAGTAGGGCATTTGCATTGCACGCGGCCAACTCGGGTTCGACTCCCAGCATCTCAAGTGGTCCCCCGAGCACCGCCAGGAGTGATACCTGAGTGCAAAGCCTGGAGTAACCCCTGAGCATCGCTGGGTGTGACCCCAAAAAGCAAAAAAAAAAGCACAGGAGGGAGACAGCCCCCTTTACTTCACAGTTAGTGACGCTCAGGCCAGAAAAGGGAAGGACTGTCTGGAAGAATCGAACTCAACAGAGAACCCAGGTTGTGATTTAAATGAAATTCACCAGCTGAAACATTGCCTCCTAACCCGTCTTCATAAAGAATTTCCAGGGGCTAAAGGGACAGTAGAGTGGATATGGCATTTGCTTACATGTGGCCAAACCTGGGTTCCATCCCTGGCATCTGATATAGTCCCCCGAGCACCGCCAAGAACAATCCTTGAGTGTAGTCAGGAGTAACCTCGAGCACTGCTGAGTGTGGCCCCAAAACAAACAAACAAGTCAAAAAATAAATTTTCCAGCATAGTACAGCAACTAGGGCGCTGACCTTGCATGACACCCACCTGGGTTTGATCCCTGGCACCCCACATGGTCCCTCAAGCCCCTCCAGGCCTGATCCCCAAGTGCAGAGCTAGGAGGAAGCCCTGAGCACCTCCAAGTGTGGCCCCAAAACAAAAACTAAAGATGTGTGTGTGTGTGTGTGTGTGTGTGTGTGTGTGTGTGTGTGTAGGAGTACTGCTACTTTTTCAGCCACTGATTATCTGATCGAATTGGGCATGAACTCCACCTTACATTTTTTTTCATGTTTCAATAATTTTATTTATTGAATCACCATGAGAGCAGTTACAAAGCGTTCAGGTTTAAGTCTCGGTTATACAATGAAACACCCGTCCCTTCACCAGTGCCCGTTTTCCACCACCAAAAACCCTAGTATGCCCCCATCCCACGCCCTCCCCTTACCTGTGGGGCAGATGATTTCCACATTACTCTCTCTCTACTTTGATCGCATTCAATATTTTGACACCAGACCCACCATTATTATTTGGGATTTTACCCCAACACTCAGATCTGCTGAAAGGGCAACAGTGAACAATTTGTTTTCTATTGCTGGTTCTGAATAACATACGATGTCACGTGGCTGCAGTAATGGAAGATGAAAAGGAAGCTCTGTCGCCCCCACTGAGTCTCAGCTCTGTATTCTCTCCTGTCCAACCCTTTTCTTTTTTTTCCCTCCCTCCCTCCCTCCCTCCCTCCCTCCCTCCCTCCCTCCCTCCCTCCCTCCTTTCTTTCTTTCTTTCTTTCTTTCTTTCTTTCTTTCTTTCTTTCTTTCTTTCTTTCTTTCTGACCGTGAGGTACAGTAACAAAACTTTCATGTTTGAGCTTCGATCAGTCATCAAACACCCATTCCTTCACCAGCGCACGTTTTCCACCACCAAAATCCCCAGTATCCCCGCCCCCCCATCCACACCTCCCCCCGCCTCTGTGGCAGACAATTTTCACAACACTCTCTTTCTCTGCTTTAGTTATCTTTGATATTTCGAGACCAGTCCCACCACCACTCATACCTGCCTAAAAGGCAATGCTAGAAAATGTCTTTTGTATTGCTTGTTATGGATACAGCATACAATCTAGGAATTCTAAAATTTTAATAATTAGGGTCTGAAGAGATGGCTGCAGCAAGTTGCTCGGGTCCAAGATCCAACATTTGTTTGTGTGTCTCTGGATCATGGCCCTGTGGGAGCTTAAGTAGATGGTGGCCGGATGTGGCGTCTTCCGTCCAACCCCTTTTCTCGGTGTTTCTTTTCCGTCAGCAGTTTCTGATCCTGGGTAACGAGCAGCCATCTGTAAAATGGGCACAATTGTCCTCCCAGCTGCTGACACCTACACACACCAGCTCTGGGGATCAGGCCCCACAGTCTGTTGGTCACTGGGAGGTTATGAGCCGAAAGCCAGGGTCAGCTTGCCGAGAGCAGGACCCTTTCCCAAGGCTCCGTGGTGGACCTGGGACATGTGACTTACTTGTCTCCTCCTAATTTGCTCCCTTCATCTGTGTGGATCACTTGGCCAGCCAGAAGCCTTGTAGAAGGCTGGCAGGTGGCAGATTGTGAGCCGGGCAGGCTGCAAACGGGTCACCCTCCCAGACCCGCGTGCTGAGCTTCCGTCAAAGAGGGCCAGTGGCTCTCTCTCTCCTGCCTTGGTTTGACCAGGTCCCTGCAGAACAGGGACCTGTACTTACTCACGTATGCGACTGTTTTTTTTTTCTTTTCCTTAGGACCCAGGCTTGAAGCTGAACCAACCTTCCGAGAACCTTCGCAGAGAAAAAGAGCAAGAGAAGTTCGCTGCTGAGGAAGGAAGCAGCAGTGATGAGGAGGAGAGGTAGAGGAGGGCCAGCAGCCCCCGAGGCTCCAGGGGGGAGGACTCAGGCTTGGAAGGGATGACGCACTATTTCTGTGTTCAGTCTTTCTCACTGCCTCGCGTGTCCTCCATGGAGAAGAAGCATATTCTGAATGTCTTCAGTACAGCTAAGGAATTTACATACGTGTCCTGTTCCATTATCACATGTCTCCCTACCGGCCAATTCATAGAGTCCGAATTCAGAGCCTGATACATAGCTCAGGAGGGACAGAGCAAGATTCACTTGGGCGAGACACTGTGTTCAAAACAAGCAAAAAGGGTCTGGAGCGATAGCACAGCGGGTAGGGCAGTTTGCCTTGCATGTGGCCGACCTGGGTTCGATTCCCAGCATCCCATATGGTCCCCCGAGCACAGCCAGGAGTAATTCCTGAGTACAGGTGTCAGGACTAACCCCTGTGCATTTTCGGGTGTGACCCAAAAAGGAGAAAAACAAAACAAACAAAACAAGCCAAAAAAGGGACTGGAGCGATAGTACAGTGGTGCATATGCATTTGCCTTGCATACAGCCAACCCAGGTTCGATTCCCAGCATCCTATATGGTCCCCTGAGCAACACCAGGAGTGATTCCTGAGTGCAAAGCCAGGAGGAACCCCTGTGCATTGCTGAGTGTGACCCAAAAAGCAAAATAACAAAAACAATAAAAAACAAGCGATGAGATTCATAAACCCACTCAACACTTCGCCCTAATACCCAAGAGGGAGTGCAGATGGCCAGATACCTGTCTTCTTGCATAAGGGATTCCGGGCTTCAACTTCTTGCAAGTTGAAGTGCGGGTCCCAAGCATCCAGCTGTGGCACAGTCAGGTGTGGGACCCCTGCAAAAAAAAAATGACAACAAACAATTTCCTTGGATCTGGACTGACCCACAGCTTCTGTTCTTTTCTTCCAGATGCTCTTTAACTAGGGCACTTTGTGATAACTTTGTCGCCCTAAAGACGTGTTCCATTTGTATCACCGCTATGGGTCAGCATTAGCTGCTATAACAAATATTCCCCAAATATTGGCAATTTGGTTCAGAGGTCAACAGATGTGTTCTTGGCTGGGCCAAGTCCTGCGGGGGTTAGAGGAGCATGGCTCCTCGCTGAGGGCCGTGTGCTGCTCCACTCCTGAGTACAGCTGGAGCCCCAGTCGGTCCTGCTGTCCCTCTCACTGTGGGACCCAACCGGAAGTAAAACACCTCAGTGAGGCATGTGGGTATCCTGGTAAAGAGAAGTTGATGGGAATTTGCCTCTCAGAAGTCTGCACCCAGGACTTCATGCTCTCATCACGAGCCATAGTCCAGTGATCCTGGCCTCTTATCTGGCCTGCCCACGTGGCTCTGTGGGTGAGACCAGGGTACCTTCCACTCCAGAAGCAGATAAGGAGGTGAGAGCTCCCAGGCTGCTGGCATGGAGGCTCGTGGGAGCTGGCATGCTGAGCAGTGATGGGGAAGTACCGGAAAGGGGGCTGCAGTCAGGGGCTTCAGGATAGAATCACTGGGCGTCCCTATAGGAACGAGGTTGCATGGTCAGAGCGTGATTGCTTTTGACGTGGTTGAGCTGAGGGGTCGGTACCTTAGCCGTTGATCTGAGTAGGTGCTTCAGGAGAGTTGGCTGTGCAGAGTCCAAGAGGGAGGACAGGGTGGGGTCAGCTCCTTGGTATGTGAAGGAATCTGGGGTCGATGGAATGGGGTCAGAGAGGGAAATTCCCTGGAGAATAATGATGACGATGACGATGATGGTGACAAGTATTTATTGAATGTGCAACATGATAGACACTTATTTATTTATTTATTTATTGCTCTTGGGGTCACACTAGCAATGATCAGGAATTATTCCTGGTCCTCAGGAATTACCCCTGGCGTGCTCAGGGGACTATATGGGATACTGGGGATTGGCTGCGTTCAAGTGCCTGCTGTATTCTCTATCACTCCAGCCCCAGATAAAGACATTTAAAAAGCAATCCATTTCATCCTCATTAGGTGGGTTATATTTGGTAAGTTTGTTAAGTACCCCACTTTACAAATGAAGGAAGCTAAGGAGTGAAGAGATGATGTGACTTGTCCAGTTTCCACTGCCATTAGAGTAGTTACATTCATCAAGGATATAAAGGAAAATATTGTTAGAATGATGAACAAATAGGAAATTTCAACAGAGAAGTGGAAACAACGGGAAATGAAGAGTGTACTGGGCAAATAAACAATAAATTAGGGACCATTAATACAGAGTTAGTAACAGGAGTCAGATCAATAGAAAATTCTTACCCAGAGAATGAAGAAAATGGGTATTTGGGGGGGGGGGGGGTCGGCTGGAGCAATAGCACAGCGGGTAGGACATTTGCCTTGCACGCGGCCGACCCAGGTTCTATTCCCAGCATCCCATATGGTTCCCCGAGCACTGCCAGGAGTGATTCCTGAGTGCAAAGCCAGGAGTAACCCCTGAGCATTGCCAGGTGTGACCCAAAAAAGTAAAAAAAAAAGAAAGAAAGAAAATGGGTTTTTTGTTGTTGTTGTTGTTGTTGTTGTTGTTGATTTTTTTTGTGTTGGTTGTGGTTTTGTTCTTGTTTTGGTGCCAACAATCAAACCCAGGATATCATAAATGGAAGGTATGTGTTCTACCACTGAGTTATATTTCTGGCACCAAAGAAGTATTTTAAAATGAAGAGAAGGGCTGGAGAAATAGAACACTGGGGAGGGCACTTACCTTTAATGCAGCTGACCTGGATTTGATCCTCAGCATCGTATATGGTCCCTGAACTCTGCCAGGAGTGATCCCTGATCCCAGAGCCAGAATAAGCCCTAAGCATTACCAGGTGTGGCCCAACCCCCCCAAAAAATAATACTAAAATAAATAAGGGTCCAGAGTGATAGTACAGCAGGTGTTGCCTTGCACACGATCAACCCGGATTAAATCCCTAGCATTTCAAATGGTCCCCTGAGCACAGAACCAGGAGTAACCCCTGAGCATCACTGGATGTAGCTCCAAAACAAAAAGAAATAAGTAATATAAAAATAAAAATAAAGATGTCATCACTGCACTGAATTAAACATCAGCTGACTTGATAATCACATATTTGTAGCCCATAAATGAGAAGAATTAAAACAGAGAAGGGGGAAAAATAAATAATAGTGGTTTAAAGTCCCCCCAATATGGATAGCAGTACGCATACTTAGGAAGCTCCCAGCAGAATAAAAGCAAAAACCCTTCATAGAAAACAGAATAGGGAAAAAAAACCACATTAAAGCTGTCAGCATGTGAGAAAGACAAACTCCAGACAAAACATACTCAGCTTCTGAAGAATAGTAAAGACAATCGTCTTCTCATCATCCTTCAGTCCCATTTTCTTCTGAAAGCCAGAGAGTAATGAAGGGTAGGGACGGGAACCCTATTAGCTCCAAACTCTAAATCCAGTGAAATGCCCACAAATAATGCGAATGGAATTAAAATGCTTTCAGACAGATGAAAGTGTAGAGATTTTTTCACCAGTTAGCCTGCCTGGTGATGAATGTTAGTGGAGTTTATTCGACCTGAAAGGGCGTTACACCAGATCTAAATTTACCTTTACAGAAGAAAATTAAAAAAGCAAAGATAAATGCGTTATAAATGTAAAAGACTACACTCTTCCCTTCTCAGATTTCTTTTGGGGGTAAAGGAGCAGGTTTTGATGCTCAGGGGTAATTCCTGTAAGTGCTCAGGCGTGATCCTGGGTCACATGGGGGTCACTTGGGGGCTGGCCACGTGCAAGTCCTTCCTCCCGGTCTTATATCTGAGATCATCTTTAAATTCTTTTTAACGACATGAAAACTTGGGGCCGGAGCAATAGTACAGCGGGTAGGACACTTGCCTTGCTTGCGGCCGACCTGGATTCAATCCCTGGCATCCCATATGGTCCCCCGGGCACTGATAGGAGTAATTCCTGAGTGCAGAGCCAGGAGTAACCTCTGAACATCGCCAGGTATGACCCAAAAAGCCAAACATAAATAAATATAAATAAAGACATGGAGCTGTTTAATAACAGAAGCATAGCAACAATGTTGTATTATGGGGTTTTTAACATATTGAACAACATGTAACCCCATTAGCACAAAGAATAAAGATGAGAGTGCTTGCCTTGCACTTGACTGGCCTGGATTCCACCCCTAACACCCCGTATGGCCCTCTGAGCTCTGAGCACAGAGCCAGGAGCAAACCCTGAGCACCACTGGGTGTGGTCCCCCTATCCCATACCCCAAACAAAAATCCAAGCTGTCTCAAAAAAAAAAAATAGTAGGTATGACATGATGAAATTATTCTACTGGGAACAATCTTTATTTTACTTGAAGCCACAATATTAACTCTAAGAAGATTGTGATGAACAAAGTATACAAATTATAATCCAGTAGTTAGCATCAATAGAAAGAAGATCTAAAAGTCGAGTAAGAGAATTAAGTCAGGATACAAAAAAATGTTTGTCAGGTAGAAAAATTCCCAGATATTCCCAGAATACTTAAGCTGGCCCATGTTCAGGGGGTCTCACCTCACCAAATCAGAACCCTGCTTCTCAACACCTCTCTTTGAGGTCCAGTCTGACCCCTGACCTCTGGCTCTCTGGCCTCGTGTCCTGGCCTGAGCAAACACACTGTCCGTGTTCCCAGCAGTCTCTGTCAAGGGGTCGCCATGCGGGCCCATTGCCTTGTTAACAGGAGAAATCCTTGTCACCCCGTTCTGAGCCATAGGCATTTGAATTTCGCAGCTGGTTCCAAAGCTCAGGACTGAGGAGGAAGGTCTTGTCCCAAGACTCACGTCTAAGACAGAGTCTGCAGGACTGAAGGCGTGGGATGGAGGCCACCATAGAGCACTGCCTTGTGTCAGCGAGGCCCTGGGCTTAATTCCCAGCACAGACAGATGGAAGGAAAGGAGGATGGAAGGGAGAGAGGGAGAGAGAGAGGGGGATGGAGGGAGCAAGGGAGAAAGGAAGGAAGGAGGGAGGGAGGGAGGGAGGAGGGGAGGGAAGGAGGAAGGAAAGAAGGGGAAGGAAAGGGAAGGAAGAAGGAGAGAGGGAGAGCGAGGAAGGAAGGAGGAGAGGAAGTAAGGACTCTAAATTTCTGTTGATAATCCTATTTGTGCTGGAAATAGCTAGGAAAAGTCAGGGGCTCAGTTTGTACACTGTAAACTACTGTCTTCAAATAAAGTATCGTGGGGCTTATCTTCGTAGGCAGGACGGCTTGTGACATTAAAGACCTCACATTAAAGACCTCTCTCTCTCTCTCTCTCTCTCTCTCTCTCTCTCTCTCTCTCTCTGTCGCTCCCAAACGGTTCCCTATAAATAACTCTGAGATCTCACGCACGGACTGTTCATTGTTTCCAAAGCACCCACTGAAGTTATCAGGGCCCCAGGAGGGGACGTGCCCAGCACACCCGAGGCCCAGAGTCTGGCCCCTGGCAGCCCCTCGCCTTGAGCATTGCCAGGAGGAGCTCTCACTCTTGCTGCTGTGTTGGGTGGCGGGGGTGGGGCGTTGGTCGGACCCCAGCTGCAAGGACCCCCGGCTGCACCGCCTGAGGAAGCCCTTAGTCAGCCACTGCTTGCACCTGTGGCCAGGCGGGTGTCCCCTTCCCGCCCGGCATCTCTCACCATGGTGGCTTCTTGTCTCCCAAGGATCCAGCCGCCCTTCCGGGAGAGAGCTGACCCGCAGCCCACAGCCGACTCTGTGCCGGACGAGCAGAGTCCCAAGCTGCAGGAGTGGCCGAGGCAGAAGGCGCAGGTAGGACTGCAGACACCGCCTCCTCTGTGGACAGGCCCGTGGGCTGGGGGCGGCAGGCAGGGCCAGGCCAGCTGGGATTCTGGGTTCTGGGCACTGATTCATTCCACCCACGAGCAGTTTGAGCCCCATCGAAGAACAACCGGACGGTATGTGCTGAGAAAGCAAGGGATGAGCAACATGCATGTAGTGTGATGGGCAGGTGTCGTGGTGCCGTGGACAGTGCTTGCCTTGCCTGCCCGAGTCTCTGGTTGAACCCCCAGATTTGATGATACCTTATTGAAGGGGGCACACCAAGCGATGCTCAGGGCTCACTCCTGCCTCTTTGCGCAGGGTCGCTCCTGGAGGGCTCAGAGGACTCCATGGGGTACCAAGTGTCGAACCCAGATTAACTACATGCCAGGTTATGCACCCAACTTGCTGTCCTCTCTCACTGCGCCCCCACAATGTCTAGCTTCCATTTACAGCCAGTGCACTTTACATTTCCGTATAGTGCTCGTGCCATTCTCCTGATGTGAAGTCAGAGCACCTGCTGTGCGAGGGCTCCATTAGCAGGAGCCCGTGCTCAGGGTCAGTGATGAGCACGTGAACAAGCTCCAGCTCTACAGCAAAGCGTGACTGAAGATGAAAATTATTGGCCCTTAAAACACATTTAGCCAGGGCTGGAGTGATAGCACAGTGGGTAGGGCGTTTGCCTTGCATGCAGCCGACCCAGGTTCGATTCCCAGCATCCCATATGGTGCCCTGAGCACTGCCAGGGGTAATTCCTGAGTGCAGCGTCAGGAGTAACCCCTGTGCATCGCCAGGTGTGACCTCAAAAAGCAAAAATAAATAAATAAATAAATAAACAGAAAACCACATTTAGCCACTGGACTTCAAATGAAGAACATGAATTTTTATTTTCCCATTGGTCATGTGAAGAGTTGCTTTCTCTGTTATCTGCCACAAATGAAACCTGATGGCATCAGCACAGTAGTTCATTGTGAACACAGGTCACAGTGTCACCAGGAGGGTCCCGAAGAGATAGGATGGTGGGTAGGACATTTGCCTGGGGTTGGTCCCCAACACCCCATATGACCCCCTAAACACCACCTGAGCAAAGCAGTAAACCCTGAGCACCACCAGGTAAAGTAAGTAAGTAAGTAAAGGCCCTCCCGTTGATCATTGATTTGCTCGAGCGGGCCCAGTAACGTCTCCATTGGAGACTTTGTTGTTACTGTGTCTGACATATCGAATACGTCACGGGGAGCTTGCCAGGCTCTGCCGTGCGGGCGAGATCCTCTCAGTAGCTTGCCAGGCTCTCCGAGAGGGGCGGAGGAGTTGAACTCGGGTCGGCCACGTTGGCTGCGTGCAAGGCAGATGCCCTACTGCTGTGCTGTCGCTCCAGCCGACAGTAAACCCTGAGCACCACCAGGTGTGGCCTGGAAAGAAATGAAAAAGAAACACCCCCCCCCCCCCCCCGTGCCGTCAGCCTGTCAGCCAGCCTAGAAACTGGATTTCACTTTGTCTGTTCCAGCGCTGTCCCCCCTGCAGGTGAGGTAAGAGTGTTCTTCATTTCCCCCAAAAAAAGATCAGATCATCCCTAATCATGCCATTGGAATATGCGCTTCAGAAAGAATTTATTTGAAAAAAAAGGGGGGGCCAGAATGATGTAGCGCAGGTGGCATTTCCTACAGTATCCCAAGCACTGCCAGCAGGATTCCCGAGCGACCCCCGGGCATTGCTGGGTGTGGCCCCCCAACCCAAACACTAAAACCTTAGCGGCTGGGGCTCCCTGGTAGCGCCTGCCTTGCACACATGAGCCCCTGGGTTGGGTTGCAGCGCCCCTGAAAATTTAAAAAAGACCAAGAGGGCCAGCGGGGTGGGCAGAGGGTGTGGCCTGCCTGGGTCCCTGCAGCTGCCCGGGGCTGGGCACCGACCCCTGCTGCGCCCACCTGCTCTGGCGGCAGGAGCCGGAGCCACTGCGGTCCCTGAAGGAGTGATAGCACAGCAGGGAGGGCGTTTGCCTTGCACACAGGGTTTGATTTCTGGCATCCCATGTGCCCCCCACCCCAGCACCACCAGGAGTAATTCCTGAGTGCAGAACCGGGAGTAGCCCCAGCATCCCTGGGTGTGATCCAAAGAGCCAAAATTTAAAAAATAAAAGAGGAGAAAGGCATAGCCCCCAGTGATCCCTGGGCTAACGGCCCAGAACCAAGAGCCCAAGGGAGGGGTGATGGGGAAGACCCTCGTCCCTGGCCCCTTGGCCCCCACGGGCATCACCCACCTTCATCCCACCTTCACTAGACCATGCCAGGCTTTTCCTCAGGAGGAAGGACATTAGGGAAGAGGAAGACTCAGACCCCACCCTCCCCCCACACGTACCTGGGACTGCTTCCTTCCTCCTCTTTTCTCTCTTTCAACGCGGTGGCGCACACAAGCTGTTCATGATTCGGTGTCTCAGGCATTCCCTGTTCCAGTCCCATCACCAGTGCCACCTTCCCTCCACCACTGTCCCCTTAGCAGGCACAGAAGAAGGATGGATTTTGTATTGCTTGTTACAACTTGCTAAAAGCAAATGAAATGATAGAAAAATCACGATCATGATCATCCTGTTGTTCGTCGATTGCCTCGAGCAGACACCAGTAACATCTCCCTCGTCCTAGCCCTGAGATTCTAAAAAGTGCCACATTCAAGGCTCTTTTAGGGATAGGAGAATGAAACCCATCATTGTTACTGGTTTTTGGCATATTGGTTACGCCACAGGGAGTTTGCCAGACTCTGCCGTGTGGGCAGGTTACATTCGGTAGCCTGCCAGGTTGTCCAAAGCAAGAATGAGATAATAAGATGCGGCCGCGCTTCTGGGAGCTGGGTTTTATAGTCTCTGGGTCTTGGCCGTTGGTGGGATTACTTAAGAAAAAAAACTTAAGTAAAAAAAAAATTGTGATCATTTAAGTCACTGCTGAGGGCTGGCTGAGCGGGTTGTGGCCGGGGACCATCTGTGTTAGTTTCATTGAGCTGAGGTCGTGTCTGTGCCCCTCTCCCAGGTGACTCGCTGTGTGTCCACTGGACTGTCAGCGCTGTGGCATTTGGAGCTGTCCAGAAGCCGTAGGAGCCGTGAGGGGCCAGAGCGATACCACAGCCAGGAGGGCGCTTGCCTTGCACACAGCTGACATGGGTTCGGTTCCCAGTATCTCGTGTGGTCCCCTGAGCCCATCAGGAGTTACCCGTGAGCACAGAGCCAGGAGTGACCCCTGCACACTGTGAGGTGTGGCCTCAAATCAAAAAAACAAGAACAAAAACTGGATGGCGGAGTGTCCAGTGGGGCAGCTGCTGTGGGGTGTGGTTGGAGCGGCTGGGCCTTCCGGAACACTCTCCAACAGAGCCTGAGGGCTGCCTGCTGCGGGTGCATCCAGCCAAGAATGTGGGACCCAGCAAGGCCTTCCAGGCCTGTTATGCACAGAAGCAAAGAACGTTTTTATGGGCAGCAAGATAGAAGGCAAAGCTGAAACCTGTCTCTCCAGTCCCCGGGACAAGGGCTTTTGCATTGTTTTAAAGAAAGTTAGGGCCCAGAGCAATTCGGAGGGAGAGGGTAATTAGATAAAGCCAATAACGTGGGCTGGGCTTGGTTTGTTTTGGTTTTGGGGCTCAGGGCTTATTCCTGGCTTTGTGCTCAGGGATCACTCCTGGTGGGGTTTGGGAGACCACAGGGGGTGCCTGGAATTGAGTCCGGGTTGGTCGAGTGCATGGTGCATGGCGAATGCCCGGCCTGCTGTACTGTCTCTCTGGCCCCCGCTGGTGAGATTTTTAGGGGAGGAGGCAAATAAGGAGAAAGGTTCTCCGGAGAGAGTGTGTTGGTGGCTTCTGAATCAGCCCGAAGAAGGCAAAGCCAGTGGCGTTTCCTCCGGTGGCACGTCTCGCTGCAGAAGAGCCTGGCAGAGCACTACGCCCCAGACTTCCGACTTTATACACGATGAGTTTGGGCTCCCCGAGACTGGGGCTCTCCTAAGACAGAGCAAGCGACCGGGATGAGCCTCAGGCTGCGGGAACCAATTCACTCACAAAGAACAGCCTGGGGCTGGAGAGGGCCACAGCAGGCCGGAAGGCACTGGTCACATCCCTGCCACTGCACATGGTCCCCCAGCACTGCCCAAGGTCCCTCCTAGGCACAGAGTCAGGAATAGCCCCTGGGCACCCCATGTGTGTGGCCTGAACACGGACCACAGAAGGAATGAATGGATGAAAGATTTATGAACATCAAAGTTACCCCCGGGGCAGAGATAGTAATTTCTTCTCAGTGTAAGACTAGAGCCAGATGAGACCAGGAAAAGAAAAATGAGGAGGGACCCTCCCCACCTCCCCGCCTTCCTGTCAGTTCTTCTCAGCTCTGCAAGCTCTTCACAGACTCCACTCCCACTTCACTGGTCCTGGCTCAGGTGTAAGATGTTCATCGCACTTCTCCTGAATGTAGAAACTGGAGCCAGCCAGTCAATGTTTGTGTGTCTCTCTTGGCTTGCTTTCTCTCTCTTCTGCACCTCCTAACACCAAATTCTCAGTAAACGTAGCCACGGATGGGGTTGATGTTCACCTGGTACAAAACGGCTGCTGTGACCAGGCCATCACTACTGCCATCCCAGAGGCGTGGGAGAGCAGTTGCTGTGCTCCAATACTCCCTCCACAGAGGAGTGGCGAGTGCTCCAGGGGCAAGGGCCTGGAATGGGTCTCCTGTGCAGTGCAGACTGGCCCAGGGAATGGGTCTCCTGTGCAGTGACCACTTTCATGCTTCTTCCCACCCACTTTTGCCACAGGCCACAGATGAGCGGCTGAAGAAGGAATGCGGCCACAGCCCGAGCACCACGAAGGGCCAGCACCAGGCACAGCAGCCGGAGCTCCAGGCCAGGGAAAAGGCGCCACAGGAGCTTCCAGGGGAGCTGGAGAAGACACAGGCGCAGCTGATCGGTACCAGAGCCCACCCCGGGATGCCATGGGCAACAGCAGGCGAGGGCAGGGAATGGCGTCATCCTCCGCCTCATTGTCCTTTGCTCCAAATTGGAGTTACCATAAGGGCCCCCAGGACGAGACAAGATAGTACCCAGTGCCCAGCACCTGAAGTGAGTCCAGTGAAACTAGCTCCAGTGCTCACTGGCTGTGTGGCCTTGGGCAAGTGGCTTGACTGCTCTGTGCCTCCATTGCTTACCCTGTAAAATGGGAGAAGCGATAGCATCCACCCCACTGGGCTGTCCTAGAATTGCACCCGTCAGTGCATGGGAAATGCAGGAACCAGCCTGGAGCAGAGCCTACAGGCTCTGTGTGATTATTGGCTGCCATTCATGGGTGCTGGCAGGGACCTCTTTGATTTCTGCAGATCATGTCTCTGTCTCTGTCTCTCTGTCTCTGCCTCTGTCTTTGTCTCTCTCTTCTCTCTCTGTCTCTCTCTCCTCCCTCTCTCTCTCTCTCTGTCTCTGTCTCTGTCTCTCTCTCTCTTTGTCTCCTCTCCTTTACTTTCTCCTCGACTCTCATCTTTCTTCCTTTTCCCCCTTCAGAGTCAGACAAAATGCCAGGCATTAAAGACCACTTTGGCTTTATCGAATGGGTTTTTTTTTTCCTTTTTCAAACGCAGTCTCTTAGGATCATTATGGGGAAAAGTCACCTTTTACATCTCAGAGTATTGGATCTCCATTCCCCAGTGCACCCTCTAACCCTTCTCCAGGAATGCTGTGGGAGACGGAGGGAGGGTCCCCTGTGAGCAGGGGCCGGCAGGGGGCGCGTGGAAAAGGCAAAGGCTAGTGCTGTCCACTGCAGATGCCTTCCGCTTGGCCAGAGTGCGAATACTATTGTGATAACGCATTTCCAAACATCGGGGTGTGTTTGGAGCCTTTAGAGAAAATAAGCTCTAGGAATATGGTATCAAAATCCCACTGCAGGATCCGGAGTGATAGTACAGCTAGTAGGGTGTTTGTCTTGCTCGAAGCCAACCTGGGTTTGATCCTCAGCATCCCATCTGGTCCCTCAAGCACTGCCAGGAGTGATTCCTGAGTGCAGAGCCAGGAGTAGCCCCTGCGTATTGCTAGGTGTGACCCAAAAAGCAAAAGAGAATTCTGTTGCAGAGGAAAGAGAACCCCACTGACTTTTCAACATAACATCGTTAGACTGTCTGAAAGTTAGGTTTGGATTTAATAGACCCTGATTTACAGAAAAGCTTAATAAGCGTCTGGGAAGTCTTTTACAGCTGATGCACTTTCACAGTCTCATTGATTTTCATGGTAAGTCCCATCAACTTATTTTACAGGTATAGGTCAAGCACTTTCTCTGTATCGGAAGCTGATCTTCGAGTGTCTAGCGCTGTTAGAACAATGTTCCCAAAGCTGTTCGCAGTCACTAAAATGCAAGGTCGAAAAAGTCTAGAACAGAAAAGTACCAAGTTTGCTAGTACTTGGGAATTCTTCTCATTTCAAAAATTAGCTCGTGGGGGGCTGGAGCCATAGCACAGCGGGGAGGGCATTTGCCTTGCATGCAACCGACCTGGGTTTGATCCCCGGAATCCCATAGGTCCCCTGAGCAACGCCAGGAGTAATTCCTGAATGCAGAGCCAGGAGAAAGTCTTGTGCATTGCTGGATGTGGCCCCAAAAAGCAAAAAAAAAAAAAAAATTAGCTTGGGGCCCCATTGATAGTGCAGTGGGGAAGGTGCCCGCCTTTCCCATGTCCAACCTGGGTTCAATCCCCAGCACCCTACATGATCCTCTGAGCCCCACCAGGAGTGATCCTGAGCACAGAGCCAGGAGCGTCAGCCCCTGAGCACTGCCGGGTGTGGCCCCAAGACAAAAAAGTTGGAGGAGAACTTGATCCAAGCTCTCAGCTGCTCTCCGTGTCTCTGAACCTACCTGCCACCACCACGAGCCCAGCCACGCACCCCCAGCGCCCCTCACTCTCCTCTGCTCTTCCTTGCAGAGACCCTCCAGAAGGAGCTGGCCGAGCAGCAGGCCGCCTGCTGCGAACACCGGAAGGACTTGGAGGCCCTGCACGCTGAGCGGAGGGCACAGCGCAGCCTGGCTCAGGGTCCGAGTGATAGTGAGGACCACGCTGGCACCGCAGAGGTCAGCGCTCCTGCCCACGGCATGCTCTTCCGGGGGCTGCCAGAAGTGCACCGGGTTCTAGAAGGTTCCTTTCCTTCCTGATTGGCAGTGGGGAAGCCACAAGCAGGGGAAGCCTGCAAACGCCTCGCTTTAGGAACAAAACAACAGGAATTTGTTGTTGTTATTGAGTTTTTTGGTTTTAGGACCACATCTGGCCAGTCCCAGCAACTCCCACCCCACCCCCACCCCAAGGGGCTTGGTTCCTGCTGAGTTCTCTGCTTCCATTGTCTTTGGGCTTTTGTTATTCAGAGAGAGAGAGAGAGAGAGAGAGAGAGAGAGAGAGAGGTCTTTCGGTGTGTAAAGAAAAAAAAGGACGACAGTGGTCTCTCTCTTCTTCGGGTTCGGTAGTCTCAGGCCGTTTCCCCACTCCGGGGAGGTCGATGGCGATGGGCAGGTGAAGGAAGGAAACGAGGGCCAGGCTGGTTGGTCTTAGTAGCATTTTATTACAAGGAAGTTTATCGCATAAAAGAAATTTATGTTATGGAGGGCCCAGGATCTCTCACACTGTCACCTCCCGGTTCTCTCAGGTCTGTACCCCCTAGAGAGCCCCAAAATCTCCTTTTATTGATCATGGTACCTCTAAAGGGCACAATACAGTGATGTCATCAAAAGGAGTTACAGAAAGAACACCGAGGCAGCAAAACATACATTGTTTCCTTGCATCTGCAGGCCAGTAATTTTGGCCTCTGGAAAGAAGATACAAAACCAAGACTGAAACCTTTCTTGGGCTACAAGCACTTGGATTTGCATCCCAAAGACTCCTCTGGCTAGAGCCGGAATCTACATCTGAAAGATCTGGCCTGGCTAGCACCTGAGATCTGCATATCTAGGACTGGCTAGGTTTCCCTGAGAAAAGGGAAACTGCCTCTTACAATATTCTGAAATTATTTAAAAGGCAGTTTGAAAGGGAAAAATGTTCAGCCTCATCCAAACTAGTCAGGACACACAGGAAAGGCGCTTCTAGAACAGATTCTCATTTAGCGGATCAACCACCCTAGAGCAGAATCCCCTGGGTGTGTTTCTCCTCTCCTTGTCCAACAGACATATAAGCATACATAACATAAATCATTTTGTATGGACACAGTAAGAAATACTTTAAGCTTATAGAATTGCTCTCCTAGGGCCATCTCAATCTCAGACTACAGTGCTCAGGCCAGATAGTCTTTCCTATCCCTAGCAGGGTCTTAGTCTCGTCGTTCCTTTTGGATCATGACATTTGTCTATGATCAAACTCTTTTTCATCGATTTGCTCGAGTGGGCCCAGTAACATCTCCATTGGAGACTTTGTTGTTACTGTGTTTGGCATATCGAATACATCACGGGGAGCTTGCCAGGCTCTGCCGTGCGGGTGAGATACTCTCGGTAGCTTGCCAGGCTCTCCGAGAGGGGCGGAGGAATTGAACTCAGGTCGGCCATGTTGGCTGCATGCAAGGCAAACGCCCTACCGCTGTGCTATCGCTCTAGCCCTTAACTTAGAGTTAAGAATTGTGGCACTTTGGCCTGGCCCATTTTGATGCCAGGGTAGCTGCCCTGGGTTCATCCAGTCCCTCGTCATGACCCTGCTTTTGGGGTGCTAGGAACTAAGGGCAACTGAGGCTTAAGTCGAGAAAGCAGATGCCCGGGAATGAATAATATTCAAAGCCAATTAAATCCTAAATTACAAAGCATAACATTGACTGTCTTCCTGTATCTATACAAAAAAGGCCATTGCATTAAAGTAAACTATTCAAAAGACATAAGGAGAGGAGAAAGGCAATATTAACTTACAAGTGCCGTGTCCTTGAAGGATCTGACCTTACAAATTAACAGATTCTGACTAGGGGAAAAGCTGATTAACTGGTTGGGGAAGAGAGCACAAAGAAGTGGTTACAGACAAATAAAGTAATGGGAGTCACTCGGGAGTACTGTGATGGGTATAACCTGATAAACCTAAGTTCCTTGTGGCAAGGGAGAAAAGGACAAATCAATTATTATCCTACATTTCGGTGTCTGTCTCTCTTCCTCTAACTTCACTCAGCTTGGTACTGTCCAGGTCCCTCCATGTTGCAGCGAATTGCATGAGTTTATCTTTTCCATGGCCGAGTAATATTCCACTGTGTACACGTATCATAGTTTCTTTTACCCATCATCTCTCCTTGGACACTTGGGTTGTTTCCAGATTGTGGCTATTGTGGACAGTGCCTGCGTGCCGTTTTAAATTCAGATACAGTGGGGTGCCAGACAGACCTTTGAGACAGCCAAGCAGGGTGGCCGCTGGCATCTGAGCTACACAGACACTCTCGCTGTCTGGCCACCCCAGTGTCCTGCGCATTCCTGGATCTCCATCTCAACTGGGAGGCTCCTGGCACACCCCTTGCCTTGCCTCATCTCCTCACCAGCCCTCGCTGAGCTCCCGCACTGGGCAGCGTGGGTGGACTTGACACGCTGGTGTCCTTGTGCCGGGAAGGGCTTCCCAGAGCCGGCAGTGTTTGGTAAGGCGCTTGCTTTGCATGCAGCAACCCCGGGTTCGATCCCTGAGTCCTGCCAGGAGTGGGTTGGCCGTGAGTTCAGCACGCAGCACAGGGCCCGACCTGTCACGGCACATCTGTGGCTGTTTGGCCCTGTTGTCTGCGGTTTTGCGCCCCCTGGCAGCTTCTTCCCTGGACACTTTCTCCCCAGGAAGGGATGGGCGCTGCTGAGCTGCTGAGCGGTCCATGGGAGGAGAACGCACAACTCAAGGATGCGGTGCGGCGGCTGCGTGCAGAGGTAGAGCAGCACCAGCAGGAGGCGCTGCAGCTCCGCGAGCAACGCAGGTGAGTCCGTTGGCGCCCCCCACCCCCTGGGCTGGGGAGGTGAGCCCCGAGCTCTACAGATGGGCACTCTGGCCACTGGGTACCCGCTGGCCTTCTTTCCCTAGGAAAGACAGTCCCCCTATCAGCACAATGTTCCATGGACATTATTAACTCTTTCATCCAAGGTTCTAGAACTTCCAGAGGATGTGTATCTTATCTTTAAAACTTGAGAGTGTGTGGTTCACCGTGCTATTAGGAATGTTTTCTCACGCACATATCACGTGTGTACCTCCTCCCTCTCCCAAGAACCCCAACACCCCTCCCTCCACCAGACCTCCCCCCTCAGTTGTGTGGATTAGTTTTTCCATTGTGATACCTTTAGCCCTTTGTTGCTACTTTGTTGCATATCTTTAAGTCATCCATATCCAAGAGATCATTCTGTGTCTGTCCCTTTCCTTCCATGATATCCTCTAATACCATCCACGTTGCTGCAAGTTACATGGTTTTGTTCTTTCTCAGAGCTGTGTAGTATTCCACTGTGTCTATATAGACTGCACCATCTGGAGCCACTCCTCAGTAGTTGGGCGTTTGGATTTCCCACTTTTTGGCTCTTGTACTAAGAGAGCAGTGATCCCAGGTGTGCTTAGACCTTTTCCAATCCACATGTTTGTGCTCGGGGGATAGATGCCAAGAAGTGGCATCACCTACAAGTGTCTTAGGGGGACCGTGGGGAAATCACTGGAGATGTCACTGTGTGCTTTGAACTAGGTGTGAGCCAGCCGCTGACCTCTCCAAGACCTGGTCACCACTTCTCAGGGCCCTTCCAGAGAGCAGTGACGGGTGGCGGGTCCCTGGTGGTTACCGTTGGGCCCTGACCCCGCTGGAATACTCTTCCTGGTCCTGAAATCCAGCCCCCTCCCCGCAGAAAGCTGAGCCCTGAGCATTTGATCTCCTTAGTTGCTCCAGGACTTTGCGGGCTGTTTCCTGTCGAGGGAGCTTTGTTAGCTCCCCACCTCCCAACATCACTGTCCAAGTGGAAGTCACCCTGCCTGGCTCCTCAGAGCCGCCGCCGTGACAGCCCCCCGGTGGAGCCTCCCCTGCTGCTGTTTGCTGCTGTTTGACTCAGTGCAGGGTGCCTGCCCCCCAGACATCGCCCCTTCACACTCCCCTTTCCCTTCTGTGGAAAAGGGTGCGGGGGGAGGGGGGGTGAGAGCAGGCGAAAGCGCTGAGCAGAAAGTCCCATAGGTCTGATTTCTCCTGGACCCCACAACTCAGAGACCCCCACCTGCGGCTCCTCTTCCCATGACATGGAACCACAGACGTGCCCCTCGTCGTCCCCCCACCCCCCGTCCTCACTGTCTCTGGAGTTCAAGAAGGTAGGGGCAGCCGAGGGTCCAGGAGCTTGAACCTCTGGAGCCTGGGGAGTCCATGGGCCCCCATCCTCCACAGGCTGCTGGAGGAGGAGCAGCAGGCCCAGCGGGCCCGGGAGGTGGACGTGCTGCGCCAGGAGCACCGGAAGGAGCTGCAGGCCCTGGCGGCAGACTTCAGCAGTGCTCAGGCCCGGCTCCAGGCCCGGCTGGCCGCCCTGGAGACTGAGTAAGTGTGGGGGGAGCTCCTGGGTGGACGGGCTTGTCCGCGCGCCGCTTGGCTAGGGTGACCCGCTCCTCTCCGAGACTCTGAGACTTCCTGGGTTAGACGTCCCGCGTCCCAGGAGGCAAGCGACTGGTGGGCCAGCCGTCAGTGGGGGACTGTGGGTTCTGTTTTGTGCCGGCCACTGGCAGCGTGGAGGAAGGGAGCTCCGCCTTGCGCTGGTGGTTCACTCTTACAGGGCTGAAATTTTTGAGGGGTCACACCTGGAGTGGTTCACTCTTACAGGGCTGAAATTTTTGAGGGGTCACACCTGGAGTGCTCAGTGGTTCCTCCTGCCTCTGCACTCAGGAATTACTCCTGTTAGTGCTTGGGGACCATATGGGATGCCAGAGACTGAACCCGGGTCGGCCACATGCAAGGCAAACGCCTTACCTGCTGTAATATGGCTCCAGCCCCTTGGAGCAGCTTTTTCAATGAGCATCTGCCTTCTGTGAATACCAGTCATGTCTGCGCAATAGTCCTGCAAGGTGAAGACTGCTGTCTCCACTGGTAAATGAAGAAAGAGAGTCTGCCAGGCACACAGTAGTTGCTTTATTCATTCACCAAAAATCCCCTAAGGGCCTACCGTGTCCCCCCCTCCGCCAGGGTTTCAGGCTTCAGTGTTAGGACAGGAACAAACCAGACTGTTCCCAGGCAGCCCACATGTTCTAGCTGGGGACTCCTGGAGGCAGAGGACAGAACAACCCAATTACCACTTCACTTGATAGCTGGTAGTAAGCACATGGGGAGGAAAGGGGATCGATGTCTAGGGGATGGCCAGGGTGGGCAAGGACAGCTGCTCCAAGGACACAAGGTTTGAGCACAGGGAGGGAAGGCTGAGAGGGCCTGTGGAGGAAGAGCAAGTGCAAAGGACCTGGGGTCCGTGGCAGGAGGGCTCCAGAGGCCTGAGTGAATGAGAGAATGTGTGGGAAGAGGTGAGCGGGGTGGGTGAGTGGGAAAGAAAGGAGGGGCCCTGCCCTGGATGAACGGGAAGGGATGAGCTGTGTTCGGGGTGCCCTGGGAAGCCTCTGCAATGGGCATCACCTGTCTGTGTCCCATGGGGTCTGGAATCCCTTTTAGTGGACTCACTTCAGGCTGCTCAGAGAGGAGATTGGGGGCTCAGGGTCGCTGCAAGGGGGAGGGAAAAGGCTTGCCTAGATCCAGGGGACGGGGAAGGGATTGCCTCTGTGCAGGTTCTGATGGTTCTTCTGCCACTAGGTGCAGCATCAAGAAATGCACCTCTGAGTCTGGCCTTGGCTTGAGCAGCGGTTCCTGCCCTGTGCGCAAAGGAAATGAGCCCAATGCACCCATGTCAGGGACGCTTGCCACACACTGAGTGCTGACTGTTACAGCGACTCCTTCCCCGCCTGGGTGCAGTGGGGCCGTTTCGCTGATTCACTTTGGATTTCGGGAGGGCCACACTCAGGGATTCTCAGGGCTTACTCCTGGGGCTGTGCTCAGTGCTCAGTCCTGGCGGTGCTGGGGGGACCAGAGGAGATGCTGGGAATCGCTCGTGGGGTGCAACGCAAGCGCCCTACCGGCTTCCTGTGTGCTGGCCCCTGGGTGCCCATTTGCATGCCCACCTTGTTGTATTCTATTTTATTTAGTACTATTATTATTTGTTTGGGGGGGGGGGTCACACCTGGCAAAGCTCAGGGGTTCCTCCTAGCTCTGCACTGAGGAATTCCTCCTGGCGGCGCTGGGGAGGCCAAGGACTGAACCTGGGTGGGCCGCGTGCAAGGTAAATGCCCTCCCTGCTGTCCACCCCTCAACATCCTAGGGGACAGTCCAGGCCCACGGTGACATAGCTAGGAAAAAGGAAGCGCTTTTACTAAGTCCCAAGCCACCTCACTCCAAAGCCCTGGCCTCTCACCAACCACGGCAGGAACTCGAACCCTCCCCTGGCTCCACCACCCACCAGGAGGCAGATCCCGCCCCCGCACCGGACCCCCTTCCCCGCCCCCAGCGCTGTAGGGCCGCGACGCACACGCCCGCCGCGCCCCGCGGTGAGCAGCAGAGGGCGCCAGAGGCACGCGGGCCTTAGTGGGCCCGGGGCGCCCTGCGCTGACGGCGGAGTGACTGCAGGGGGCGCTCACGCGAGCCTCCTCGGACAGGCGGAAAGACGCCGCGGAGAAGCCCGCCAAGGGGGCGTCGAGGCCCGAGGACCTGCAGCTCATCGGCCGCCTGCAGACCCGCCTGAAGGAGAGGGAGGACTTCATCCGGCAGCTCACGGTGAGGCCCCGCCCCCCGCTCGCGCCCCGGCCGGCCGCCCCGCGCCCCGCACCCCCGCTCCGCACCGCCCGGGATTCGAAAACGCGATGCTGTGGTTTTCCGCGTGGCTTTACCTTCGCTTTCCCAGAGTCCCCAGATCATAACCGGGGGCCGGAGAGAGAGTCCAGCGGGCGAGGCTGACCCGGGTGCGATAAGTAAAATAAAATAAAACTAAATAAAAGTAAAGCCACTCACGTTAATCCCCATCCACAAGGTCACCCTTAAAAATTCGGCAGTCGGTTGGCTTTGCTTTTGGGTTTTTTGGTTTTTAAGTCACACTCGCCCCTATACCCAGGTCGGACGACCGATTTGCACGTCAGGACCGCTACGGACCTCCACCAGAGTTTCCTCTGGCTTCGCCATGCCCAGGCATAGTTCACCATCTGCATGACATCTTATTATCTCACTCCTACTTTGGACAAACTGGCAGGCTACCGAATATAGCCTGCCCACACGGCAGAGTCTGGCAAACTCCCCTTGGCATACCCAATATGCCAAATACCAGTAACAACGATGGGTCTCATTCTCCTAAAGAGCCTTGAATATAATCTCAGGGCTAGGATGAAGGAGACGTTACTGGGGCCTGCTCAAGGCAATCGACGAATAACAGGATGATGAAATGAAATGAAATGAAGTCACACTCCGTGATGCTCAGGGCTTATTCCTGGCTCTGTGCTCAGGGGTCACTCCTCAGGGGGCTCAGGGAACCATATGTGGCGTCAGGGATCAAATTCCGGGCAGCCACATGCAAGGTGAACGGGCACCTTGGACCTCTATACTCTCTCCTCAACCCCCACTCTGGTTATTTTTGTCTATTGTATAAAACAATCTATTCTCAATAGGAAATGGTTCTCACAGGAAAATGGAAGCAAAAACGTCCTCACCTCCTTCCACCCCCACACACAGACTCATACATGTACACAAGTATATAAACACATACACACATATGCACACATGTATACATACATATGAACCATACACACATACATAAACACATATACACATGTATACACACATACAAACCATACGCACGTATACATAAACACACACACATATCACTTAATCACTTAACTTCCCATTAGTCGTCGATTTGCTCGAGCGGGCGCCAGTAACGTCTCCATTTATCCCTGTCGCATGCTAGTGTAGCCCAATGGCATCTGTTCGCTCTGGGAACATGAAGAGCCTCAAACCGATCGTTCATGGTCTTGACGAAGAAGTCTGACCATCTGGTAGGTGGGCGGCCACACGGTCTTTTGACATCCCGTGGAATCCAGTCAGTAACAGCTCTAGTCCAGTGGTCGTCTTTAAATCTCATTACGTGACCAGCCCATCTGATTTTCGACACCTTGGCACATGAGACAGCGTCCCTGATTCTTGATCGTCGACGGATGTCAGAACTCCGGATTCTTTCTCTCATTTGAGTGAAACGTGATATTCCAAGCATAGCTCTTTCTATTCTTCTTTGGGAGACCTGAATAGTGTTCTCATCTTGTTTGCGTAGGGCCCAGGTCTCTGAGGCATATGTTAATGCAGGAAGAACAGTGGAATCAAAGAGATGTGCCCGGAGCCGGAGGTTCTTCGTCCTCTTAGCTATTTCTTCGACGTTCTTGAAGGCGTTCCAAGCCGCTCTCTTCCTCCTGCGCAGCTCGGGTGCCAGGTCGTTTGTCATGTTGACTTCTCGACCTAGGTACACACAGCTGTTGCATTCGGAGACGGTCATTCCGTTGAGAGCGAATGGGGCATCAGGAACGAGACTGTTTCTCATAAACATTGTCTTCGTAAGATTCAGCTGTAGTCCGACCTTTCCACACTCACGGTCAAAGTCGGCCAGCATTTGTGCCACTTGGCTGATGTTTGGTGTTATTAAAACAATGTCATCAGCAAAGCGGAGGTGGTGTAATTGCCGACCATCTATCTTCACTCCCATTCCTTCCCATTCCAGTCGTCGCATGATGTTCTCAAGGGTGGCACTGAAGAGTTTCGGTGAAATGGTATCACCCTGCCGCACCCCTCTCCTGACATCAACGATCACTTCTTTGTAGAATGGTGAGATCCTGGTAGTGAATCCGCAATACAGCTCACGGAGGATCCTGATGTATTGGGCTTGAATGCCCTGATTGGCTAGGGCTTCAATGACCGCTTCCGTCTCAACAGAATCTAAGGCCTTCTTTAAATCAATGAACGTTAAACAGAGCGGCATCTTGAACTCCCGAGAAACCTCAATGAGCTTGGTTATTGTGTGGATATGGTCGATGGTGCTGAATCCTTTGCGGAACCCGGCTTGCTCGCATGGTTGTCCTTCATCTAGTGTTCTGCCACTCCTATTTAGGATGACTCGAGTGAACAACTTGTAGATGACAGACAATAGGCAGATCGGACGATAGTTGCCAATGTCATGGATGTCTTCCTTCTTGAACAGTAGTACGGTCCTGCTGGTTTTCCATTGGGACGGAACCTTGCATTCAGACAGGTAGCGAGTGAAGAGCCGAGCCAGTGTATTGATGAGTACTGACGGCAGGTTCTTCAGGTGTTCAGGTCTGACCTTGTCTGGGCCGGGTGCTGTTTGTTTCTTTACCGACGAAATGGCGTGTCGGATTTCGGAAGGGAGAATGTTGGGAACGACATATCCATCCTGTGGAATTTGGTATGTCGGCAAGTGGACATGGCTATCGAAGAGATTTGAGTAGAAGTCATGGATAATCTTCTCCATTGCCGTTCTGGAGGATGTGATGGATCCATCAGGACGTCGGAGGGCAGTCATCTTGGTCTTGTAGTTGGCGAAGGACAGGCGGGCGTAACGAATACTTTTCCCAACTTCTGCCGCATCTACCAGTACTTCTGCTCTTCTCTCTTTGAGGTCTTCCTTGATCGCATCTCTGCACTGCTTTGCGAGCTCGGACATTAGCTTGCGGTGGCCTAAGGCATGCGCCAAACCACGCTGGCGAATTAGCTCAAGAGTTTTCGAAGACAGGCGTTTTTTTTGTGGCTATCTCTCTCTTGGCGTTCCTCGCACATTCATGGAGGTGCTGAACCAGTCGATCGTATTCCTCGTCAATGTTGTCAACAATGGTATCTTCCCATGTTGCCGCAATAGTGCCAAAGAGTTCCCAGTTGGTGGTCATTCTGGGAGTTCTCTTTTTGAACTTTGCAGCCCTTTCTCCCCGCTCTGTGAAGTAGAATTTTGCATGAAGGAGACGGTGGTCTGATCCCGTTCGAAATTTTGGGGCAACAGCGACATCGGTTAGGCAAAACCGTCGATTGAATATGATGTGGTCTATTTCGTTGTGGAATTGTCCACCGGGAGACTCCCATGTCCAACGTTTAGATTCTGCCTTCTGGAACTGTGAGTTACCATGGATGGTCTTGGTCGACATGATGAACTCAGACAGTCTCTCACCCTGTTCGTTCCATTCTAGGCCATGGGTCCCGATGTGAAGTTCTTCAGCTGATCTTCTCGGTCCTATCTTGGCATTAAAATCACCCACAATGATCTTGTAGAAGGTGTGGTCTTCTTTATAGAACTTCTCCAGCTCCATGTAGAACTTCTCGATTTCTCTTTCATCATAATGAGATGTTGGTGCGTAGACAACGAAGATAGAAACTGCAGGCAGTGAGCCACATCTATTCAAATGTAAACGTCCGATTCGGGTTGTTAGGCATTCGAATGAATCAATGCTCTTGGCCAAGTTTGTGTTGACAAGGACACCGACACCTCCGACACCTCTTTTATCGCATGTTCTGAGGAACAATTCTTCTCCAGTGTCGAAAACGGCATGGTGAGATTTGTGCCTTCTTGTTTCGGTCAGACCAATGATGTCGTACTTGATCATTCGCGCTTGTACCATCAGGTCCTCCATGGATGCATCTGATGCTAGCATACATGCATTGAAAGTACAGACGATCATTTTTGTCTTCCTTCGTTGTGGCAGCCTAGGTCGGCCTTGAGATTTTGTCGGCCTCTCCTTTCTCATCCTTCTCAGTGCTGCCATGTCGGTGAAGCCTTCAGGGTCAGGTGAATGAGACCAGTTGTAGTTACTGGTTTTGGCATATCAAATACACAACGGATAGCTTGCCAGGCTCTTTCGTGCGGGCGGAATACTCTCAGTAGCTTGCCAGTCTTTCCAAGAGGGACAGAGGCTTTTGGGGTGACCTCTAATCACCCTTGTAGGTGTTACCATATTTCAACCCTATCAAATATGGTACAACAATTCCTGAAGATGGGTATTTAGTGTCTTATGATGTGTCGCGCGGCCGCTTTGCAGCCGCGCGGGTCCGTAAAGCGTCCTGAAGTGTGGCAACGGCTGGGTAGTGGAGGTAGATATGCACATACATATATAAACTACACACACACACACACACACACACACACACACACACACTCTAGGTCCCACCCCAACTCTCCAACCAGTTTTATGTTAGTTTTATCAACAAGACAATCAGGACATTGATCATCGACTGAACCCCACATGGCATTCGTAAGGAACTTCTTCTTTGCCAAGTGTGGCAAGGGTCTGACGGTGCTGCCCATAAATGTTTGTAAATAGGTAATTATCTCTTAGACAGACACATTGGGGCTGGGGAGATAGTCCAGGGGTCCGATTTGCCTTGACGGATTCTGGTTCTATGGCTGGTGTCACATCTGGTCCCCTGAGTCCAGGAGTGGTCCCTGAGTCCAGAGCCAGGAAGAAGCTCCAATCATCAACAAACAAACAAACAAACAAGCACAGCAGGACTGGAGAGATAGTACAGGTGTTAAGGCATTTGCCCTGCATGCGGCTGGACTGGACCCTGGTTCAAATCCCCAGCACCACGCACTGCCAGGCTCACTCCGGAGCACAGGGCAGGAGTCATCCCTGAGCAGTGCTGGGAGTGGGCCAAATAGGAAATCCCTAGCAAAGCAACACTGTGGAGACAGTCCAGGGTTGGAGGCACGTGCCTTGTGCGTAGCCCACCCTGGTTCTATCCCTGGCACCACGTATGGTGGTGCCCTGAGCATAGCCAGGAGTAAGCCCTGAGCACTGCCGGCTGTGACCCACCAGCAGCAGCAAAGAAGTCACACAAAACGAAAGGAGAGGGCAGGGGAGGGGGCAGGCAGCTATGCACCTGGCTTTGGGTTCCTTGGCCACGAGTAACTTTTTGCAGGAGCCTCTTGGCGGTGGCCGAGCTCTCTGCACCTGCTTCCCTTACAAGTGAATGCAGGGCGCCCACCACCTCAACCCCTGCACCTTGCTTCCTGAGACCCCCTCCCTCAGACGCCCCCCTGGTCACACAGACTCTCCTGCTTTCCCAGGAGGAGCGGAGGTTCCACTACGCCGCCTTCCCCAGTGCCATGGCCCACCGCAACCGCTCCTTCTCCTTCAACCCTCACCCGGGCTACCTCACTCCTTCCATGAAGGTAAGGCTCTGCTCCTGCTTCCCGCCACCCTCCTCCCCGCGGGAGACGGAGGAGTCTTGGATTCTGATTAGGTGGGTTGTGTGCACCGTTTCGGGATGGAGGACTTTCTGCAAACCGTAACGGCAGAAACCGGCTTACCTCCACTGATTTTCCTCACCTGGGTTCGCCGTTTGCGAGCCAGCGTTACACGCCCACATCGCCACCAGTGAGAAGATTCATGCTCACATCTCTCTCCAGCACGTCCAGTCTGCGCAGGGCTGGAGAGTGCGAAGGCATTGCACGGAGGGAGGAGGCCGGGGTCCGTCCTCGGCAGCACGTGGCCCCTGGAGCACTGCAGGGAGGAGCCTCTGAGCACTGCTGGATGTGGTCCCAAACCAAACCAGCATCCTGAAAGCTCTGCCACAAGCCGAAGCCTTACGGTTCATAGAACAATAAGCCCATCCGCAATGGATGTGAGCTCATTTATAGTTTTTACGTCTCCCTCTTAGTGTGACAAGATTGATTTCTTGTAATATTAACACATTTTAGGAAAAGGGGTCTCCAGACCCTGCTGGGGTGGTGTATGGTTCTCTAAAATATGAAGAGATGGCTAAAGAAACTTTGGTACATCTAATGGAGTACTATGTAGCTGTTAGAAAAGTGAAGTCATGAAATTTACATAAAGTGATACTACATGGAAAGTATCATGCTAAGCGAAATGAGTCAGAAAGAGGGACAGACATAGAAAGATTGCATTCATCTGGGGAACATAAAGTAACAAAATAGAAGACTAATACCCAAGAGTGGCCGAGATTAGTACCAGGAATTTTGCTCCATGGCTTGGAGGCCAACCACACATGCTAGGGGAAAAGGGAGCTCAGATAGAGAAGGGAGCACCAAATAAAGGGTGTTGGGAGGATCCTCCCAGGATGGGAGAAGCATGCTGAAAGTAGGTTATAGACCAAACGTGATTGCCACTCAATGCCTCTTTTGCAAACCACAACACCCAAAAGGAGAGTGAGAACAAAAGGGAATGCCTTGCCACAGAGGGGGGGTGGATGGGGGGGATGGGGGCTGGGAGGGATATTGGGATCAGTGGTGGTGGAGAATGGGCACTGGTGGAGGGATGGGCATTTGATCATTGTATAATTGAAACCCAGGAACAAAAATGTGTAAATCTACAACTGTACCTCAAGGTGTTTCACTAATAAAAAAAATAATAATAAAATAAAATATGAAGAAAGTGGGGGCTGGAGCGATAGCACAGCAGGTAGGGCATTTGCCTTGCACGCAGCCAACCTGGGTTCCATTCCCAGCATCCCATATGGTCCCTCGAGCACCACCAGGAGTAATTCCTGAGTGCAAAACCAGGAGGAACCCAGTAACCCCTGTGCATCACTGGGTGATGCACATAAAAGCTAATAAATCACTGTCACTGTCACTGTCCTCCCATTGTTCATCGATTTGCTCGAGCGGGCTCAGTAACGTCTCCATTGGAGACTTTGTTGTGACTGTGTTTGGCATATCGAATATGTCACGGGGAGCTTGCCAGGCTCTGCCGTGCGGGAGAGATACTCTCGGTAGCTTGCCGGGCTCTCCGAGAGGGCGGAGGAATCAAACTCGGGTCGGCCATGTTGGCTGCGTGCAAGGCAAACGCCCTGCCTCTGTGCTATCGCTCCAGCCCAAAAGCAAATAAATAAATAAAGTATGAAGAAAGTGGGGCGCTCATCTGTATGCAGCTGAATCAGGTTCGATCCCCAGCATTATACAGTGTCTGAGCCCCACAGGGTTGATCCCTTGGGGTGGAGTCAGGAGTAAGCCCCGAGCACCGACTGATGTGGCCCCAAAACCAACTAACAAAAATCTGAAGATTTCAAACATAGTATCTGGTTTTAAATATTTATGGAATGCCCAAATTATAATATCTGAATTGATAAAACACATTGGTCCAAAAAAATCTCTGAATGAGATTGTGCACTGATGTGAATTTTGTTTTGGGGGTTGGCTCTTTAGAAGATTTCTTTATTATTATTATTTATTATGATGATTATAATTACTTTCAGACTTTGAGCCACACCCAGTGATGTTCAGGGCTTACTCCTGGCTCTGCACTCAAGAACCACTTCTGGTGGTGCTTGGAGGGGACCAGATGGGGTGCCAGGGATTAAACCTGGGTTGGCCGCATGCAAGGCAAGAGCTCTACCCACTGGACTATTGTTCCGGCTCCCTTTATTATTATTTTTGGGGAAAACTTAAAAAATGGAGATTCTGTGGTTTACAACGCTATTAATAATGGTTTCCTGTGCACATAATTCCAGGCCACACCCACCACGAGTGTACCTCTCCTCTCCCGAAAACCCAAGACCCTTCCTCCTACCTGCCCCCTTCCCCAATCAATTGTGTGGATCAGTTCTGCTACACTTACGTGTCTTCCAAAATGCACAGGGGTTAGAGGGAAGCGAGCTTTACAAATGAACGTCCTTCTGCCAGAGTGAGAGTGCGGCTCACAACCAAGCCAGGCCCCATCCCTGGCACCCCCTTCTTTCCCCCGAGCCCCGCCGGGTGTGATCCCTGAGAGCAGAGCCAGGAGGAAGCCTTGAGCACCACCAGGTGTGATGTGACCCCCAAACCTAAACAAAACAGAAGTGAACGTGAGCACTTCTAAAGGAGTCACTGCCATGCTCTCCGGGCTCTGCTGGGCAGGGCTTGCCTGCTGTGTTTTCAGCAGTGACCTGACAGACATTTCTCTTCCGGCAAGCAGAAAAAGAAGCTGGAGGAGGTGCCCAGCCGAGTGGTGAGCGTGCCAAACCTGGCCTCCTACGCCAAGAACTTTCTGAGCGGCGACCTGAGCTCCAGGATCAGTGCTCCTCCCCTGACCAAGTCCCCCAGCCTGGACCCGAGCCCCAGCGGTGGCCGCCCCTACAAAGCCACCCAGTCTCCGGACGTGAAAGCTGCCACCAGGTAGGGCTACAAGCTGCAGGGCCCCAACCCCTGCCCCCTGCCACCCCAGATGGGGGGAAGTCCAGTCCCTTCCTAGCCTGTGAGCAGAGTATGTGCAGCCAAACAAGCCCTGTGTGGGCACGGGGAGGGATGTCCTCACAAGTGGTCCACCAGGCTCCATCCCCAGCACTCCAGATGGTCCCCTGAGCCCCACCGGGGGTGATCCTAAGCGCAGAGCCAGAGGGACGCCCTGAGCACGGGCAGGTGTGGCCCAATGCCCCCCAATAAAAATAAGACGAAGATGATCGTCGGTCCCATCAGACTGATATGAGCCTACAGGAGCCAGTCCAGAGATGCACTTGCCGTAGTGGCTGGCAGTCCGTTTGCTTCCAGGCTTAGTAGGAAGGTTAGTTCACTGTGTCAGCTTGCAATTGTTTTAACTTTGATTATTTTAGGGCCACACCTGGCACTGCTCAGGCCACACGCAGCGGTGCTCAGAGTTTCCTTCTGGCTCTCTGCTCTGGGGTCATTACTCACAGGGCTTGGGGAACCACAGAGGGTTCTGGGGATCGAACCCGCATCAGCACATGCAAGGCAAACACCCTACCTGCTCTGCTATCGCTCCAGCCCCCAGCAAGGAGAAAAGAAGCAGTTAGTTTTCCCTGAAAGGATGGTGGGGGTCACACTGGTTATTGGATATTTTCACAATCAGCTTTAAAATAAACAAATAAACAAAAAACACTTTTTAATTTTTTTAAGGGCACAAGAAGGTGAAGCAGGCCAGTCCAAAGAAGCACAGCAGAAGCAGGGCTCAGCCCACCAGGAATGGTTCACCAAATATTTTTCTTTCTAAATACACCCTTGGGATATGGCATAAAGAAGACACTGAAGAACATTTCCTTTAAAACATCCAATGATCTGAAGCTGAATGGACTGAAATGCCAAATAACTTGCTTGTTGATATGTGGCATCCAAAAAAAGTCGGTATTTATATGCCCAACCCTTTCCTTTCTTTGTGGCACCACCTCATTAAAGAGAATGAGTCTTTGACATGAAGAGAAACCCAACAGTGGCGTCAGAAAGTCCCCGTAGAACAAGGTCATAGCGTGGCCCAGGAGCCACATGTCATGTCTAGTGTAAGATTGCCTTCTGCTTTGTGGAATATCAAACTTTGTGACTTCCATCACCTACCTTAAAGGTGCGTCATCTGATGTTAGGATCTCAGCCATCTCCACGTGAAAAGTCATTTCTGTGTAAATGCTCACAGTTCCAATACATACCTCTAACCTCAATAGGAAGGAAAAAAAGAGAGAACTGTGAAAGCCAATTAAGAAACCAAACCAAAACTCCGACCAATGGACCGTAACAGGCCTTGGCACACTTGGATGGGATCATTCGACTTCCTGGGACAAGGGACTGAAGTCCATCTGAAAGGGAATAACACCTACCTCCTAAGGGGCTCTGGGGAGAGGTGACAGAAACGGGCATCGCGCATGAACCAGAATGAAAACACTGCCGGATTTTTCTGGGGAGAATCAGTCCCGCCTCACCCCTTCTTGCTTTCAATGGCTGCAGGTCTCCATGGTTGTTCATGAAACCTCCGACATGATCCGTTCTTTGACATCAAAGATCTCCGGGACCCTCCAGTCTCGGGTTAGGACTTCGGCCTCATGGTGTAGAGATGCTCGGTAAACTGCAGCCAGGAATGTTTTCCCCTGGGGCTGGCCTTCGGTCAATACGGACCCACCGGCGGGGGTCCTGGTGCCGCTGTGTGATCTGACAGATCTCAGCACAGCTTTCCCAGCGGAATCTGTCTTCTGTCCTCTGGTGCTGGCACAGCAGTGGCCCCCAGCCTAGTCTGTGCACTATCTAAATCCTTGCTCTCTGAATAAAACTTGAATCTGGGCAATCCAAGTGGTCTTGATGTGCTTTTGCTCAGCAGAGGAAGATGAAGTTTAGAAGCCTCATCAAATTCAGTCAGATCACCCTCAGACCAAAAGTAGTTGCTAATATGAGTGTAAGAGGAATGCAATTATAACACAAATTCATAAGTGAAAGCTAAAAGGATTCCAAAGTGCAATAGTTATCATGTCTGCTTTGCACAGTGGAGAGCTAAGCTTACTACCTAGTCAAAACACACTGACCCAGGTCCAGAGCGATAGTACATCAGATGGGGCGTTGGCCTTGTAAGTGGCCCACCTGAGTTCAATCCCAGCATCCTATACGGTCTCCCAAGCACTGCCAGGAGTAATTTCTGAGTGCAGAGCCAGGAGTAACCCCTGAGCATAGCTGGGTGTGACCCCTCCCCCCAAAGAAAGAAAAAAAAAACCACTGTTCCAGGAAGAACATTTTTTTAAAACCTAAATTTTATTTTTATAAAGTTGTTCACAATGGTTCATTACAGTTAATGTTCAAACACCAATCCCACCACTGTGCATTTTCCTACCACCATAAGAGGAAAGTGTGTGAAGATTGTTGTATTACACCCTGGAGCCATTTAAGTCCTTGCAGAAGGGATTACAAGCATGCATGTTGAACCCAAACAAACGTGTGCTACTTTTGGTACATCAGTCGGCTAGAGTATGAGAGGTCCAGGGTGTTCCATGTTGCTGTCCTCCAGGAGCTCTATTTTGGAGTCTCTAGATCCTGGCCATTGATGAGATTATATGGCACCAGGGGCAGTTTGTGGGTGTGACTGCCAAGCTACTGAAAAACTGGGGATCTGGGGGGAGGAGGCCCAGTACAGCTCTGAGAGAGCTTGGAGATCTCAGTCACAGGTTCTGCATACTGGGTTTTTCTGCAGGTCCCTCAAAGGTGAGGCTCATTTGAGCCTGTGGAGAGTGGCCTTGAGCATGGCTGTGCGGTTGTTGGGTTCTGGAGTTTCTGGCTGCCAGGGTTCTGTCCAGGTGAGGAGGGAAACTCAACCCGCCCCCACCTCCAAGCTGCCCTGGTGAAGACAGTCTGGTGCGGGGTCAAGATGTTCTGTGTCATTCTAAGAGCATTTTTTTTAAAAAATCACATTACTAAATTACTTGCTACTAAATAGTAACACCATATTACTTTTCAGTGTCATTTTTGTACATTCTTGTGTTTCTTCTTAAGGTTAAGAATTGTAGGGTTGTTTTTAATCCTGTGTTTTTTTTTTTTAAAAAAAGCCACTACATATTGGTGGTTTTACCTTTGTTCAAACATTTTTTCCAACACTCTGCAAGTCCAGATGACAAGCAAACTCAAGTTGCGCTCTATATCAGGGGTCTTCATGCTGGCCCATGGGCTAGTGGTGGGCCAGTGGTGTAGAAGATTGAAACAACTGGTCTACCAGGCCACAGGTGTGCAAGCCTGAAGCTGGTCTGTCTAGTACAGTGGTTCTAAGTGTTGGTCCACAGAGCAGTATGCAGATGGGAACCAGCTCACAAGGTTTGTAGAAAGGCTGCAGGAAAGAAAGCCTTATACCACTGTCCTTTAAGAAGGATATTGGCCACAGGGATCAATTTTCCTGGGACCCTTGATCTGTTTTATTTTGATTTGAGGGTCACATCTAGCTGTGCTCAGAGCTGTGCTCAGGGATCACTCCTGGTGAGGCCCATGGGACTCTATGGGGTGCTAGGGATCAAACCTTGGTCAGACGTGTGCAAGGCAAGTGCCTTATCCACTGTACTTTCTCTCTCCAGCTCCCCTTCATGTTTTAAATCTCATAGTAGGTGGGTCAAAAAGTTCATTAAATTCTTACATTCTATTAGAACTTTGGAGCTGGGAAGACAGTACAGGAGCAAAGGCGCTTAACTGGCATGCGTCTGACCCTGGTTTGATTCCGAGCACCACATATGGTCTCCCAAGCACTGCAGGAGTGGGGACTGACTACCACTGGTATGGCGTCCACCCCCCAACCCCGCTCCCCGCCCCTCAAAAAAAACTACACTCTACTGGAACTGTGCACGCTTGCCATTTTTCCTACCAGACACACTTCTTGGGGATGAAGGCGTGAGGCGGCGAGGGTAGGGACGCACAGGTCTTGGATGCTTGTGCTTCCCTTAGACTTTTTTGTCAGGAGCACAAAGGAGTATATTAGCAAGAAAAAAATGCCGACATCTAGCAGGGCTTAAAGTGAGCCATTTATTGAAGAGATGGAAGAACAGACCTCCTTCCCCCTGAGTGGTGGGGTGGGAGTGGGGGTAGAATCCTGTCTTTTTAAATGCTCTAGGCTCCCTACCTCCCCAACACCCTAGAGGTCACCTTCCCGAATGGGTGCAGAGACCTTCATTTCCACGGGTTACCACATGCATCACGAAACTATAGGCACTGGTGGGTATGACCTGGACATTATAAGCTGGTGTTTGTTCAGAGGTTACTTAAGACTGACCTTCCTTTACCCCCGCCCCCTGGCTGAAGTAAATTAGGGAGAGACCTTTGCAGGGCCATAAAAATCCAGTTCCATTTACCACCATCCATGAGGACCTGCCTGGATCCTGGCTTCAGGGAGCCCATCAACACCCTTTCCCCTTTCCCACCCTCCCTCTTGCTCGGGTGAGCTCAGCCGAGGTCACTGCTACCCACAGCTCCACAGCGTCAACATCAAACCTCAGGAAAACACGCCTGTTAGCTTACTGCCAGAAGTTCCTGTTACCATCCAGAAGTTTCTGTGCCTTCACCAACAGCGCAGGTTGCCCTGCCCCAGACAGAATACTGACAAATACAACTGGATCCAGTCAGTCCCCCCCCCCCCCCCTTGGTTCTGTCTGCATGATGTCGGTCCCCCGAGAGCAGAGTGGTCTCGAGATAATGATGGCGATGGCTTGGAGGACACAGAAGATAATGAAAGGAGAAACGGAGTCTGATGGCGGTCAGCTCTTCTGGCTGGACCATGAAAGAAGGGCTTGATCTTCCTGGAGCAGAAGTGGGAAAGAATCTTGCTGCAAAGTGGTTTTAATTAGGGTAGGAAAGAACAAACTGGCCTGATCTATGGCTGCGTGTGGTGCACTTGCACCTGTAACAGCTCGAGCTGACGGGGCACATCACCACAGAACTGACAGCGGAAGCTGGTGGGCCTTTATCCTTAGCCATCCTGCAGGGTCACCTGGGTCTGCAAGGCAACCAAAGTGGCTACGACAGGGCCCGCCCATGCTGCCTCATTTATTCCACTGCTAAGCGCAATGCTCTTCTCCCTAGACTTCCGCGTGCATTTCCTGCACTTCTGATCTACTGCCTCCAATGGCCCATTTCCTCCCTGCAGGAGCTAAGTGCGGACTCCCCAGGTGCCCTCAGTGGCAAGGCAGCTAGATAAGCAGTGTGTCACCGTCCCTCCATTGGCCCACTGGACCGTTCAGAGGCAGAATTCCCCCAACCTCCCATGCTTCAGTCTTCACACTAACTTTCCCTCCAGCAGGGACTTCTTTTTTTTTTTTTAAATTTATTTATTTATTTATTTATTTATTGAATCACTGTGGGAAAGGTTACAAAGCTTTCAGGTTTATGTCTCAGTCACGCAAATATCAAACACATTTCCCTTTACCAATACTTATTTTTTACCATGAAGAACCCCAATAAAACCCCACCCCCCACCCCTCCCCGTCCCTGTGAGGCAGATGAATTCTAGTTAACACTCTATCTGCTTTGATTAGATTCATTGTTTCAATAAAAGATTCACCACTATTATTTAGAGTTTACCCCCCCCCCCCCCAAATCAGACATGCTGAAAAAGCATTGTGAAGTGATTTGCTTTCTACGGCTGGGTTCAAGAATTAAATGTTGGTTTTGGATTTCTGCTTTTACCTATTGACCCTGGAAGTATTTCTACTGAAAGTCAGATAGTTAAGAAATTGGTTTCTGTGTTCTGGAGTCCAGGCCGCAGCAGGGACTTCTTGGCACCAGATGGTAGCAGTAGACGCCCCCCCCCCCCCCCCCCGGGGCCATCTGCTTCTGTCAGACTGCCTCCAATACCACTCAGATTACTGCCCATCGGGCGGCCAGTCCCTCAGCCACCCTAACAGTGGACAGTTGGACAGTATCCCTGGAGGCAGACCCCAGGACGCAATGTGAAGTGCAAGGAAGGGGTGAGGGATGCCAATGCTCTCTAGCCAAAGAAACGTTCCTCCGGTGGAGCAAGTTGGACTGTGCATGCAGGGAGCACTCATCATGAATGGGGAGGCCTCTCAGCAAGGCACATGGCCTGGGTGACAGATGCTCTGAGAGTCACTTCTGTGCCTGGGAACCGCAACAAATCTTATTCACAGCAGGGAGGGCAATGAGGATGCAGGGGGTGGGGAGGGAAGCCAGGGATGTTTGGTGGGTTTGGGGGGGCTCAAGGGGGGCGCACACCAGCTGTGCTTAGGGCTTACTTCTGGCTCTGTGCTCAGGGAACTGAAGTCGGGCCAGCGGGTGCAAGGCAAGTGCCCGCCCCCGCTGTACCTTCTCCAGCTCGGATGTCGGCATTTTGTAGGTAGTCACTCACCTTTTGCTCCTGCCCCCGGAAAATACTCACCAATGGGTTTGCTTTCCTTTATCGTGGGCTCAGAGAACTCTGTGCAGGCCGGTACTGAGACTGTGCACGCAGCAGGAGCGACGGGCAGTGCTAAGTCAGTGCCCGTCAGCACAGGAGTGAGATGCAGGGGTGAGGCAGAGCCTCAGACCACAGTGCTGCGGAGGCCCAGCCGGCAGGTGCCAAGACTCCACCAGGCCAACATCGGGAACCAAACCGAGCCAGCACTGGGGCAAGAAACGCCCTGGCTCCATCACTGTGCTCCGTCGACTCGGGAGCATCTGCCTCCCGGGACGGTGGGGAGAGTCCCAAAGGCAGGAACATGGCTGACTGCGCCACTCACCCGGCCCCTCCCAGCATCCTCAACCAAGGGCTCACCGCAAAACCACCCTCAGACCTGCGCAGAGGCAGGCTTGCAGCAAGCGGGGCTGGTGACATCGGCCTACTGGGGAGTTCATGAGGCAACGAAGTCATTAAAGGGAAACTTTACAAAAAAGATGAAAAATTCATTATTTATTTGACAGATTAGTGAATTTAATAAACAGCCAACAAATGATACATACAAAATACAATCACTAAAGCACACACAGTTCCTTCTGTTGAGACATCCTTGATTATTGAAAGATCATCTCAAATCAGTTGATGTAGAGTTTAGTGCAGAAATCTAAAGCGGCTGGACCTTGAGAGTGTGTGACTAAAAAGTTTTAAATGCTTGAAACACACAATCTGATGGCATTTGTTGTCCACAAACAATATACCATACACACATGCATACGAACAAAAACAATGCCTACCGACAAGAGACAAACATGCAGACCCTCCAGGCGGAGGGGGAATCGTGGCAGCCCTGGACGTCTATCTAGGACCCTACCGAGAGGGCAGGGCTGAGCCCCTCCCCCCCTACCCAGAGTCATGCCTGTGAGCCACGCAGAGGCAGCTCACGACCCCAGGGGAGAACCAAGCAAGGCTGGCGGGAGAGACAGGACGCCAGTGTCCTGGCGGGCGGCTCAGAGGGCTTGCATGTTGCGTGGCCTCCACGTGAGGGGTGGATGAGTGCAGGGAGGGGCAGTCAGCCGTGGGGGCAAACAAAGCAAGCACCCCCCAAAAACACACTGGGGCTCACACGTGGGCATAAGGCTGAAACCCAAGAGACGAGATGGTGAGTGAGGAAGACCTCATCCAAGGAGAGCCGGACAGGTGACCCGCCCTGCGCTGGGCCCCCGCGTGCTCTGTGGAGGTCTGTCGTGAGGGGACCCCACCCCGTTACCAAGAATCTCAACACACCAAACAAGCCAGCACAATGCACGGGCCCAGAGCCAGCGCTGCCGGGCAGAAGGCGGCTTCTGAGCTAGACACAGCCAGACAGACGAAGGAGAGGAACACGACAGCAGCGTGAAGTCCCCCGGGGAGGGGAGCATCCGCGAAGGACCCGCTGCGACACTGCTACACTAAGCTGGGAGAACGGATGCTCAGCCTGGGCTCCGAGAGCCGCAGACGCGTGCACCATTAGATTCCTCTTTCTTGAGGTAGAAGTTCCAGGGCGGGCGGCAGACAACGCACCCGTTCCCGCCCCGACGCGCAGGCGGCCGAGAAAGGCCCAGAAGGGCCGCGAAAGGGGCTGAGAGAGGGGCCGGGCAAGCAGCTCCTCAGCCCGATTCACAGGGCAGCTCAGACCGGCCGACACACGGACTAGCAACAGGGAAATGTGACAGGGCGTACAAAAACGACCCCCCCACCCAACCCCCCGCCCAAACTAACGCGACACTTGGCTATAGGACAAACGAATACGGGGTGATGCGCGCGCTGGGTTTGCCAACGCTAAAGCCGTTTTCTACAGTATTCACAAAACCCCAGGAGAAGAGCGTGTGGGAACGGGGAGGGGGGTCAGCTCGGCTTCATGGGTGCGGGGATGTTGGCCGACGCCTGCTCCAGGTAGGCCAGGGAGCCCTGCGGGGCGTCGGGGGGCTGCCGCTGCTGCACGCCCACCTCCTCCAGCACCTGCTGCCAGTGCCGCAGCTTGGCGAGGTGCTTCTGCACCAGAGCGTCCTTCCGCTGCAGCTCGTTCCTCAGCTCCGACACGTCCTGCAGAGGGAGCGAACGGCAGAGAGTCAGGGGTGCGGGGACACCCTCGGGGCTCCCTGGTAGGAAGGCAGGCGGAGGAAACCACTCCCACTGCCCGCAGGGGTCCCAGAGCAGAGCCCAGAGTAAGCCGCGCACAGTGCTAGCGCCCCCAAGCCCCAATCACCCCCCAAAAAGACAAACTGGGCTGCGAAGACTAACGCGACAGCGCTGCTTGGCTCCAGAACAGGAGCAGCTAAAGCGACTTTCCCCACAGAACGCCCACTGCTTAAGATTCCACCAGCAATGCTGACTGCGGCTCACGCGTGGCTCCGTGCTCAGGGGAACACACGCAGTGCCAGGGACTGAACCAGAGCTGGCTGTGTGCAAGGCAAGCGCCTTAGCCACTGCACTCTCTCTCAGGCGTCAAGAATTAAAATAAAAAAAATAAAATAGGAGCCACTCTTGGTGCTGTTTGGGAAGTCGGTCTCAAGGGTCGAACCCAGAGCCCTGCCCACTTCTCTACCACTTAAGTTATCTCCACAATCCTAAAATGTTTAACTGAAACTCTTTATTAGATAGAGACAGAGAGAGAGAAGAAAAGTCCCTGCCACAGAGGCAGGGTGGGGGGTGATGGGAGGGAACCTGGGGACACTGGTGCTGGGAAATGTGCCCTGGTGGAGGGATGGGTGTTGGAGCACTGTAGGACTGAAACCTAATCACGAACGGCACTGTGAGGGTCTATCTCACAGATTAAAAAAAAAAACCTCTTTATTAAAAACCTGGTCTTGATTATACACCTGAATTGAAAACCTGGTCTTGATTATACACCTGTCTAATTTGAATAAGGATTCAAATTCAGGAAACAATCTGACATGACGGTTTTGGTGCCACCCCTGCAATGCTCGGGGGCTGCTCCTGGCTCTGTGCTCAGAGGGCCATTTGCTGGGCCAGGGGTGGAAGCTGGCAGGACAGAGCCTGAGCTCTATCCTCTGCAGCAGCTCTCCAGCCGACACAAGGAATCAGGCCATTCACCTTCTCAAACTTGCTAACCGTCTCCATCAAAACAATGCTTCTGATGCAAGGTCAGTTTAGGGGAGCACTCGCTTCCGAAACAATCGTCTCCAGGGAGTGCTTCCCACTGGTGCTACTGCTGGCCCACGGGGCAGGGCAGTTCCTTCCTCCTCAGGGCAAGGGTCCCAGGCACCCCCGTCACACCTGCAAAAGCCCTGATCTCACCCCACCGAGTTCAGGGAGACCCTGAGTTTCAAGACACCTGGGGCAGAACATTTACTTTCTGCTTCAGTGAACACTGAGAGGCCTTACTGCATGTAAGGTATGAGGGACACATGGCTCCAAGTCCCTGTGAGAAAATGACGGGGCACTTGCCTCTTTGATGACCTGCTCCGGTTTCTGCACAGACAGCTGCAATCTTTTCTGTAGGAAGAAACACTCTGTCTGCCTGGCAATATCCAAGAACTTCTGGATACACTGATCCACACCTTGAAAAATAATAAAGTAAGGAAATAATAAAAATAAATAAAAATAAAATAAAATAAATAAAATAAAAAATAAAGTAACACACATTTACAGTCAGAAGTGAACAGTCAAGAGTATCACAACAGCACCTCAGAGATGCAAGGTGGGACTTTATCCTGGCCACAGCAATATTATTACCCCTGCCCCGACTCCGCAACCATAAATAAGAGATCTTAAAAGAACACAAAAGCCATGAGTTCTGCAGGAACATAGTCCAGAGACCCAGCAATCAGTACCGTCATTTCTGCTTAAAATTGAACACCTAAAATATGACACCCCCCAAAAAACAAAACCCAGCTGCTCTGGTCACCTCTGCAAACAGAACTTTTGTGGGGGAATCACAAGAGACTTCGAAAAGCCCATCCACACAGTCCATCTGCAGGATCAGTCAATAAAGCTCATCAAGCTACAGTTCACCTGCACGGCAGGTCAATAAACAGAGCAGGAAGCTGAGACTGTGCATCTTAGCTGCCCCAGAAGTTCTCTTAGAGCAGTCATCAAAATCAGACAGACCGTGGCATCAAAGTGCTCTGAGTTGGGCTGGAACCACAGTATGGTGGACCAGGGCACTCGCCTTGCACGAGGTGACCTGGGTTCGATCCCTGCCATCCCATCTGCACCCCTGAGCACTGCTGGGTGTGGCCCCCAAACACCAAAATCCAAAGCCCGCCCCAAGCGTGACCTCAACCATTAGAAACCTTGCAGGCAAACCACAAGCCACAGGGTAAGGATTCTTACCTGTTCGGATTTCTTCCTGATCGGTGCCATTCACGTAGTCCTGGCTCACAAGGGAAGCAAAGCAAGCCTGTGGGATGTGATCAAAACATCCAGGGAAGACCGTGTCAAAGACCCTGCCTCAGAGTCAGACGAAGACCGCTAAGCTCAGCAGGGCGCTCTGCCCAAGACCAGAAGGAGTCGCTGCCCGCAAGGCAAGTGCCTGAGGTCTGTCCCATCTCTCCCGCCTGCTCTTTCAAGTCAGTCACTCCCAAAGGTCTGAATGTACTCACCAGGGAACGCGTTTTGCTTACACAGCTCCCCCATTCCCCCAATATTCCTTTATTTGCGCCCCACTACAGTATTCGAAAACTCCTGATGAACTGGACCTCACAGCTCCAATAAGAACTGATGGTCCTTCACCAGGGTGGACCCCCACGGAAGCTACCCGAGCACTTAACTTTTACCTACCACGCCCCGCCTTTCCCTCCTGCAAAGAACGGAATGTGCACCTTTCCTCCGTCCTCAGTGTGCCCAATACCAGGCTCTGCCCGGCAAGACTGTTTGTTTTGGGACCACCCCTGGCGGTGCGCAGGGCTTACTCGTGGCTCTGCGCTCAGGGGTCACTACTGAGGGTGCTCACGGGTGGTATGAGGGTCCGGGGAACGAACCAGGTGGGCTGCATGCAAGACAACCTCCCTGCCCGCTGTATTTTATCTCCAGCCCCAAGCCCGACAATCTTGCAACGTGCCCTCGAGCTCCACAAGCCCCTGCGACTTGGGCCCGTGCAAAGTGGCTCGGGAGCCCCGACGACAATCAGGGATGCGGGGAAGCCGCGCAGGGCGGGGCCGGACCGGGCAGGCGGGTGAAAACTTGGGCATCGTCTCCTCATCTCCGCCAGAGACCCTGGCGGAAGACACCAGCCTCGGACGACTCTCACGCCCTCTGCTCCGAGCGTGCAGACCCGCATCAAAGGGGGGGCGGAGGCCCGGACGCGCCGAGGCACTCGACTGCGCGTGCGCAGTTCCGCTGCAGGGCGGCCGGGGCATCCCAGGCCGCGGACCCCCGGCCCGCCCTACCTCGAAAGAAGACTCCAGCTCGTCCACCAGCGTACTGTTGGAAGTGCGAGGGGCGCCTGTGGCGGCGTGGAGAAGGGAAGCCTGGCCAGGGAGCCCCGGCGGGGGCTGCGGGGCGCCCGGCGGCTGGCCGGAGAACATGCCTCCCAGCGGAGTCGCCATGTTTGAAAAGGCGGCAGAAGGGGCGGACCGCGCCTGCGCGGGATCCGGGGCCGGGTCACGTGATCAGAGCATGCACGTGACGGGGCGGGGCGCGCGGAGGCGGAGCCGGGAGCCCTGATGGGACCGGCCGAGCACGGGTGTCGCTGTCGTCCGCTCCTCCATCCCGCAGCATACAGCTCCGGGCTTTTTTCCTTTGTTTGAGACGGGGATTAGGGTTTTGATCGAATTTCGCTAAAGATGTGCGGCGCGCGCCTTCCCACGGCTGCTGCCTGTTTTCCCCTTCATGGTTAAGGAAACTGGCCAAGGCTCTCGGTCTCGGTTGTTTACCCGTTAGTAGAAGGGAGGTAGGTACCCGCCCATTCTACAAGCATTTAAAAAAATTTATTATTTTGGGCACCTTGTATTACAGTACTGATATGGATGGGGGTTTATGAATAAATTATTCCAGGACCACACCCTCCACAAGAGGTCTGCTTTTCTCTGCCCTTGTCCCATTCTCCCTCCAGCGCCCCTGCTGATAAGCTCCCTACTGAAGACCAGGTCTCGGTTTCTGTTGCCTTTTGTTATTTCTTTATCATACTTTTTTGGGGGGCGGGGGGAGGGGAGAGGGGAGTCAAGCATTGATGTTTGGGGGCTACTCCTCGCTCTGCGCTCAGCAGTTACTTCTGGTGGTGCTCTGGGTACCATGTGGGAATGCTGAGGATTGAACGCAGCCCTAGGTGTGCAAGGCACGCACCCTACCCCTGTTCTCTCTCTCCAGCCCCTCCCCAACATATTTCTTTATATCTTCTAGGAGGGTGATCGTTCTATATCTGCCCCTTTCCTGACCACTTTCACTTAGCATGACACTTTCCAGAGCCATCCACATAACCAACTGCATGATTGCTTTTTTGGGGGGTCACACCCGGTGATACTCAGGGGTTACTCCTGGCTCTGCACTCAGGAATTACTCCTGGCGGTGCTCAGAAGACCATATGGGATGCTGGGAATTGAACCTGGGTCAGCCAGGTGCAAGGCAAACGCCCTACCCGCTGTGCTATCGCTCCAGCCCCTCTGCCTTTTCTTACAGCTAGCTGAGTACTATTCCATTGTGTATATGTACCATAGTATCTTTATCATTACCTATTTTTGGAAGGGAGTTTGCGAATTTTGGCTATTGTGAATAGTGCTGCAATGAATATCAGAGTGCAAAAGTATTTTCTGAATAGGGCTCTTTGGGATTGACACCAAGACGTAAAATTGTTGGATCATGTGGAAGGTCACTTCCTAGCTTTTAGAGATGCAGCCATACTGTGTTCCCCCAAATCTGAACCTGTCAACATTCCCATCAGCACTGAATCGAGGGTGTATTCCCCCTCGCTCACCTCCCTCCACCTCACACCAACATAGGTTGTCAGTTTTTGTGACGTCTGCCACTTTCACTGGTGTGAAATGATACCTCATTGTTTTGAATTGCGTTTTCCTGACAATGTGATGAAAAGCATGTTTTCCCCATATACCTTTTAGCCATCTGTGTGTCCTTGTTTTGTCTTGTTTTGGGGTCACATCCGGCAGTGCTCAGGGCTTACCCCTAGTGGTGCTCCACTGAGCACCATATGTGGTACTGGGGATCCAACCTGGGTCAGCCATGTGCGAGGCAAGCACCCACTCCAGCCCAAGAATTTTTTATTTTCAACATTCTACCAGTACATTACATATCTTGGATGTTAACCCTCTGCCAAATGAGTTGGTGAAAAAATATTTTCTTCCAGTTAGTGGGGTGTCTTTTTATTCTGGTCATTATTTCTTTGTGGTGTGAAGTTTCTTGGTTTGATTATGGCCACTGGCATGGAATCATTGATGATGCCTCTAGATACGAAGTCTTGAAGTGTTCTCCCTTGTTTTCAGCAATACAACTTATGGATTCAGATCTAATATTGAGGCCTTTATTCTATTTCAATTTGACTTATGTGCACGGTGTTAGAGTTTACTTTTTCGCATGTGACTGACCCATTTTCCCAAAACATTTGTTGAAGAGGCTTTCCTTGCTCCACTTCATATTTCTTGCTACTTTATTTAATTTTGTTTTTCTAGGACTACACCCAGTATACTGCTCAGGGCTTACTTCTGGCTCTGTGCTCAGGGATCACACTCCTGGCAAGGTTTTGGGAGACGTATGCAGTGCCAGAGAGCAACCTAGGTCAACCGTGTCCAAGGCAAATTCCCTACCCATTGTACTATCCAGTGCCCCTCTTGCTCATTTTAATACACGTTTCCCAAATCCCTTGCAGCCTTCATGGCATACCTGGTTGATGATGGAAGCCCAAGGGTTGTGTGGGGCTTCAGTGAAAGCTACTCATTCATGAACTGTAACTACTTCTTTGGCCTGGCACCTGTTACTCATCTTCACGTGACCTTTAACCCCAACTGGCCCCTGGGACTGAGAGTGCAGGTGATACCTGTCCCAAAGTCTCTGGCTTCTGACAGTTCTGGGGCTGCACTGGGCTCTGCAGTTCCTGCTTCAGTCATTTTGAACACTGTGATGGGGGAGGGGGCGTCCTACATCTGCAGTTCTGGATTTGCTTCTCTCCAGTTCTACAGTATCCGCATCTATGATGCAGATGTAGGTACGGTCACTAGCTGTAGAGAAGGGTTCTGAGGACCAGTGTCGGGGCTGCCAAGGAGCTAGCAGGCCATTGCAAGTGCAGTGACCTCTATCAAGTTTCAGCCCAAGTAGATAAACCAGAGCATCCAGGGCCCTACCAGGCTCTTTGACTCCCACACTCAGTAAACAGAGTACTATTGTCCTTTTGTCCATAAAAGAAAAAAAAAAACCCTCTGACAGTAAGCTGCTGTCAAATCCTTCCTTAGTCTTGTGAATCTCCTAGAAAGAAACGGGACATTGTGCGCCTGAAACAACTCTATCATAATCAACTTTGTAAACCAGTGTCTTTTTGTTGGTTTTGGTGCCACTCCCGGCAATGCTCAGGGGTTACTCCTGGCTCTGCCCTCAAGAATTTCTCTCCGCAGTGCTCGGGGAAACCATATGGGATGCTGGGGATTGAATCCAGGTCAGCCATGTAGCAGGAAGCGCTCTACCCACTGTACTATCTCTGCAGCCCTATAAGCCATGGTGTCTTAGCACAAATTTAAAAAAATCCCAAATGTTTAATTTCCCTCTACGAGCTGCCAGTTCTAGCTCCTGTTTCCATCTTTCCTCCATAGTAGCAGCAGCTTCTGGGGCTGCAACGAGCACAGCAGGTGGGGAGCTTGTTTGCAGCTCCAATCCCCAACTCCGCATATGGTCCCCTGAGCCTCACCAGGAGTGAGCCCCACCACCGAAATAGGAGTAAGCCCTGAGCACTGCCAGGTGTGGCCCTTCCCCCCCCCCCCCCCCCCAAATCAAAGTAGCAAATTCTGAACTTGAATAACCAGGAAAACCCATACGCCCCCTTTCGGAATTTCTTGATTCAAATAAGATACGCTTGCACGCTGTTACCATCACCTCTCCAAAGACAAGTACAGATCCAGCAATATCCTCCCCCATGTCAAAAACTTTCAGTATTAAAATAACTCCCAACACTTTCCCTGCCATAAGTTTCCGCACATGGGGCAGGGCAGAGATCCTATTCCTGGGTAATCTGATTCACCCAATACAGTGAGGAAAGCTTTATTCTAAGCCTGATCAAATCAAACTGGGCTGACTGGCTGCAGGCCCAGGAGGTAAGCAAATAGTTTGCCTCCTTTTACAGTCTTGTTTTCTTACTTTAGTATTTTGGATAAATTCCTTCCCCGTCCGACCTGAAAGTCCGCATTACGGTTTAACTGAGGGTAGAGCCGAGAGCCAGGCTCTGGGTTGAAATCTCTGCTCTGTTCTCTCTGGCTGGGCCATACTGATCGCATGTCCCTCACCCACTCTGGTGGCTCATTCTCCTTGTCTATGGAATGAGGACTTGTTTTTTTTTTTTTCCTTTTTTTTTGGGTGGGGGGGAGGCCACTTCCAATGGTGCTCAGGGCTTATTCCTGGTTCTACACTCCTGGCGGTGCACGGGGGACCATATGGGATGCTGGGGATCAAGCCTTGGTCGGCCGCATGCAACGCAAGCGCCTGCCCTAACTGCTGTCCAACATCCCTGGCCCGAAAATGATGTTTGTACTGACTATGCTGGGTTACAGTGAGAATTCCAGCTTATTAAGAAAACACTCTTTAGAGTCTGACAGAAGGTCACTGAGTTTCCAGCAGTCAGTGAAGCCTGCCCCTGGGGGACTGATTAGTTTTGGAGATGATATGCCTGCTAATTATTATGCTCATCGACGAGTGTCCCAAAGTGACTGACAGAAAATACCAAGACTGCCCCACCCAATTCACCGAGCTACTGTGACAGAGTCCAAGGGACAGATGTGTCATACGAGTGATGGCATAAAGGAACACCCGAGCCACACCACGCAGCACAAAAAGTTGTATTTATTGTTTCTTGAATCACATCATAACTTTAGGTAGTTTTTCATGTTCATGATATCCAAAAATTCAAGTCTGCTCCTCCGTCCCTATCATAGACTCTGATCGCGAGGCTCTTTACAAAGCGTCTCCTTACAGACACCGGGGAACTCCTGGCCGCGCAAGGCACTGGCTTCTACCTTTACAAATCTCTGCGTACAATATTAAAAAAGAAGAAAAAGCACATTGAGCACTGAAGTGTCGCTGAATTCTACCGTGTTAAATATCCCCCTTCCTCGCCCCCTTCTAGCAGTTCACTCAAACGCGCTGATGTCCAGGTGTCCGGGACGGAGCCGCGCAGAGTCGGAGGCGGGGCCTAGGCGCTGTTCTGACTGAACCGAAGCAGGAACTCGATGAGGGTCCTGGTGGGCCTCCCGCTCATGCCTTTGCGCAGGTAGGGGACCTCATCTTTGTTGGTCATCACTCCTGCGATGTCTAAATGCGCCCACTTCGGGTGAGTCACAAATTCCTTCAGGAAAGCGGCGGCCGTGCACGCCCCTGCGGACCTGAGGAGGAAAGCACCGTCATCTCCCGCTGCCGCAGCCCGGAGCCTTCCT